CCCCGACCGGGACTAGAACCCGGGGTGCCGGCACCGCAGGCGGAGGATTAGCCTGGTGAGCTGCAGCGCTGGCCCGAGAAGTTCTTGATTAATAAGGATTTCTGTATCCACATCTCCAGGGAGGTGACTTCACCTCAACTCAGCTCTGTGGCTCCCAGAAGCTCTCCATGCCCTCCGAAGTTAGAATAAAGAGATGCAGATGTGGGTATAGGTAATAGGGTTGTTTCCACCAAGCCAGGAGAGCTGATGCAATTTCCCTTCTCCGTGCTAGGATAACTTGCTTGTTTCCATTGGTTCTGTTACCCTTTTGTTTCTTCCTCCTTTCCTTTCCTTCTTCCTTAAACATAGATAGAAGTAGAGAAAATAGTTTAGCAATCCCACAGCCCCTTACGTTTATTCTTTTTCCTAGAATGTTTTAAAGCAGATCCCAGATGCTTTGTAATTTCATCCAAGATTAGCTTATGATTGACTTGAGTCTGGGGTTTAATATCAGGGTCCTCTGCCCTGGACAGATGCTGAAGATTGGCCTTTTGTTCTCCTTGCCTGGTTTCCCCATGGCCTTGTGAATTATCATTTCTCAGTTAATAACGACAGTGTTGTGGTTAGCCCAGAAAAAGCTATCATGTTGTCTGGCATTAAACTTACTCTCATTTTGCTTCATGATTTTGTGAGGTAAATATTGTGTGGGTTTCATAGAAGAGGAAGCTAATGCTAAAATTCAGAGGTTAAATAACCAGCTCCTAGCTGGTAGAACTAACCTGGAAGACATATCTATTTACTTACATGAACCTATGCTTTTTCCTCAGTGTTCCACTGTGATTTGTATGAGTTGCTTAGGGGACCATTTTCTTTACATCATCCATGTTTTCTAAGCACATGAAAAATGCATTCTACTGTATTCACAGTCTTTGGAAAGAGGCTGCATTTGATTTAGTAATTATTGATAAAACATCCCATTCAGGGTGGCGCTATGGTATAATGGGTAAAGCTGCCACCTGTAGTACTGGCATCCCATAAGGGCACCAGTTCGAGTGCCAGCTGCTCCTCTTCCTATCCAGCTCTCTGCTATGGCCTGGGAAAGCAGTAGAAGATGGCCCAAGTCCTTGGACCCCTGCACCCATGGGGGAGACCTGGAAGAAGCTCCTGGCCCCTGGCTTTGGATTGATGAAGCTCCAGCCATTGCAGCCATGTGGGGAGTGAACCAGCAGATGGAAGACTTCTTTCCCTCTCTCTCTGCCTCAGCCTCTCTGTAACTTTGCCTTTCAAATAAATAAATGAATCTTAAAAAAAAAAATCCCATTCATCAGCTGCATATGACTTACTGTTTTGTTCCACCTACTAAATAATCCTGTTATTTTTTAAAATATTTTCAAAATATTCCATCCACTAGTTCACTCCCCAAGTGGCTACAGTGGCTGGATCTGAGCCCATCTGAAGCCAGGAGCCAGGAACTTCTTCCAGGTCTCTCATGCAGGTGCAAGGGGTCAAGCACTTGGAACATCTTCCACTGCTTTCCCAGGCTATAAGCAGAAAGCTGGATTGGATTTGGGATGCTGGTGCCACAGGCAGAGGCTTAGCCTACTACGCCACAATGGCGAATTCTGTTATTTTTAATACAGAAAAATTCTAAAATTTTTGTAAAATAAAATAATCAATACCCACATATCCTCCACCCTGAATTAACATGTACATAATTTACTTCACATCTTTTTCCTCCAAATAAAACGTCACTGATGAGGTTGAAGTCCACCTTGTTCTTGCCAGAAACGTTATCATGAATTTGATCTGTAGCCTTCCAGTCCATACTTTTATTATATAAATAAGACACTGAATGGAGCCAGCACTGTGGCACAGTGGGTTAAGTCACTCCCTGCAGCGCCTGCATCCCATATGGGTGCTGGTTTGAGGCCCTAATGCTCCACTTCGATTGAGCTCCTTGCTTTAAAAAGAATAAAAAAATACACTGAAAACATGTGATATTCTTTTTGTTTTGAAGAGTTACATGAAAGATATATATATGTAAGTTTTTATGTAACTCCCTTTTCAGTCAACCTAATTTTTTTAAAGACTTATTTATTTATTTATTTACTTGAGAGGCAGAGTTAGAGAGGGAGAGACAGAGAGGGATCTTCCCTCTGCTGGCTCACTCCCCAAATGGCCATAATAGCTGGAGCTGAGTTGATCTGAAGCCAGGAACCAAGAGCTTCTTCTGGGTCTCCTACACAGGTACAAGGGCCCAAGCACTTGGGCCATCTTCTACTGCTTTTCCGGGCCACCAGCAGGTAGGTAGTTGGATTGAAAGAGGAGCATCCAGGACTCGAACCACTGCCCAATGTGGTGCCAGTATTACAGGTGGATGCTTAACTTACACCACAGTGCCAGCCCCTCAACCTATGTTCTTTCAAAGTCAATTTGTGCTGATATGTAATGACAATGCTGCTGTAGGCTTTTTTTTTTTTTTTTGAATATTTATTTTATTTAAAAGGCAGAGTTACAGAGAGGCAGAGAGAGAAAGAGAGGTCTTCCTATCCACTGGTTCACTACCTACCCAAATGGTCACAACGGCTGGAGCTGAACCGATCTAAAGCCAGGAGTTTCTTCCTGGTCTCCCACATGAGTGCAGGGGCTTGTTCCATCTTCTGCTGCCTTCCCAAGCACATTAGCAGGGAGCTAGATCGAATGTGGAGCAGCCGAGACTTGAACCGGTGTCCATATGGGATGTCAGCACTGCAGGCAGCTGCTTTACCAGCTGTGCCACAGCGCCCGCCCCAGGCATTCTGGTTTATATTCCCTTGAGCATGTGTCTCTGGGCTATAGTCCTAAAAGTAGAATTCCTACAATAATAGGGTATGTGAAATACCAGCTTTTAGTAGCCACCTTCCTAGCAGCAGTGGCGATAAGCTCTTGTTTCCCCGTATCTTCTAGTTAATTCTTGGTGTTGACTTTTTAAATATTCTTTTTGTCAATCTCATGAGTGAAAAGTACTTCCTGTTTTAGCTTTTTTGTCTTTAGGAAGTAGATTTCATTTTTTTTTTTTTTTTTTTTTTGACAGGCAGAGTGGACAGTGAGAGAGAGAGACAGAGAGAAAGGTCTTCCTTTGCCGTTGGTTCACCCTCCAATGGCCGCTGCGGCCGGTGCACCGCGCCGATCCGGTGGCAGGAGCCAGGAGCCAGGTGCTTTTCCTGGTCTCCCATGGGGTGCAGGGCCCAAGCACCTGGGCCATCCTCCACTGCACTCCCGGGCCACAGCAGAGGGCTGGCCTGGAAGAGGGGCAACCGGGACAGAATCCGGCGCCCCGACCGGGACTAGAACCCGGTGTGCCGGTGCCGCTAGGCGGAGGATTAGCTTAGTGAGCCGTGGCGCCGGCCAGTAGATTTCATTTTTTATAAAAGTCTTTTTATCTAATTTCTGGTGAAAAGTTCTTTGAATGAAATAAAGAGCTGGGGAGCAGGAAACACTGTCGTAATCTGGCATTAATTGAATGGTTTATTTTCTTCTAATTTAACATGCTCTTGTTTAACAGCTTCATAATATTTTGTTACTTGAAAGAGTTCGCTTTTAGAATTCAGAATTTCTAACTTTCTGTATTTGGATAATAGGGTTTTTGTTTTTGTCTTTTGAAATCTGATTAAATATTATTCTTGCTTAAACTTTATTTTCAACTTAAATGTCTACCTTCAAAAAGAGGAAAGATTAGGAAGAGATATAGGAAAGATTTTTTAAAAATTTATAGGATTGTGCCAAGCTGAAGCCAGGAGCTTCATCCAGGTCTCTCCACATGGGTGGGAGGGGCCCAAACACTTGGGCATCTGTTGCTGCTTTCCCAAACCATTATCAGGCAGCTGGATTGGAAGTAGAGCAGCCGTGACATGAACCGGCATCCATGTGCTATGCTGGTGTTGCAGGCAGTGACTTTACAAGCTATGCCACAATACCAGCTCTGGGAAAAGACTTTAACCTTCCTTAAAAATCAGTTAGAAAGGCTGATGCTGTGACGTATAGGCTAAGCCTCTGCCTGTGGCACCTGCATCTCATATGGGAGCTGGTTCATGTCCTGCCTGCTCCTCTTCCTATCCAACTCTCTGCCTTGGCCTGAGAAAGCAGTGGAAGATGGCCCAAGTGCTTGTACCCACTCGGGAGAATTGGAAGAAGCTCCTGGCTTCAGATCAGCCCAGCTTCCCCTGTTGTGGTCATTTAGGGAGTGAACCATCAAATGGAAGACTCTCTGTCTCTTTCTCTGTAACTCTGCCTCTCAAATAGGTAAATAAATCTTTAAAAAAAAATTAGAAGAGGTGTCACAAGGTATGCTAAATGATAAATGATATGAGTTCTACAGTTGAAAAGGAGAAATGGTCATTTCAGGTGAGGATAATATAGAAGAGGTTATTAAAGAGATACTCTGATAAAGCATCTAGTGAAGTTTATACTTCATATATGTGAGAAGGTTATTGCAGTTTTTCATAATGTGATGTTTAAAACAGCCTGAATATCCCAAGTAGTAGTGAAATGTTTACACAGATTGTATTCTACTAACTCTAATATACTAATATTTTGTCACATAAAAATGTTTCTGAAAAATCATTGGAAAATGCTTATAATAGGATATTAAATAAAAGACATTATGAAACTGTGTGTATAGTATTTAATCCAAGTTGTGTGTTTTACATTAGAAAGAATGAAAAGTAAATACATTAAAAATGTTGAGGTTATTTTCTTGATGAGTAGAACTTTTTCTTTGTTTCTTCATTTCCCCAATATTCTATTTAAAAATACACATATTACTTTATAAAAAGAAGCCAAGGTTAAGACAGTGTTTAACCTTCATTAACTTGCAAATTAAGGAATATAGTGGTGGCTTTACATTGTCTGGTTAGCCTTTCTACCTTGTGGGCTTCATCTCTGTATTTTGTCCAGGCCTTTGCTTTATTCTTTGCTAGAACAGAGACAGAGGTCTTGGGACTAGAGAAGCGCCCTGCTGGACTCTCCCCTGTTTTGAACAGGTTGTTGGGGTACCAGTTGGATCTACTCTGCCTTCGACAGTGAAACAGGCTGTGGCAATCAGTGGTGGCCAAATCCTCGTGGCCAAGGCCAGCTCTTCTGTTGCCAAAGCTGTTGGTCCAAAGCAAGTTGTGACCCAAGGAGTTGCCAAAGCAATTGTGAGTGGAGGTGGAGGAACCATCGTTGCTCAGCCGGTGCAGGCCTTAACCAAGGCTCAGGTCACTACTGCTGGCCCTCAGAAAAGTGGATCCCAGGGCTCAGGTAAGGATCTGACTGGAGGCCCTTTCAGCAGCAGCACCATCCAAGATTTCCTTTGCCAGTGGTTTTATTTGATATTTGGTTTTGTTCAGGAAAGCCTAATAGGCTTCCTAATAGACTCCATACATATATGTATAAAAATGTTTGTTCTTTTTTTATGGAATACTTTACATAGAGAGCTACTAGTAGTTGGCTTAAAATGTGTATGTAACATATGTAAAGTATATACATTTACTGTAGCATATATAATTAATATGTAGTAAACATATGTAAAATCAGGAATGATAAAAATAGTGCTTCTTGATATTGTTTTTGAGTCCAAAAAAACAATTCTCATTTTATCCCTATCCCTACCTGCAGATGTCTATCAGACTTAAGATCTTGGCATGGCATTTGCCAGCTATCATTTGGGATACTGTCTAGTACATTCTCTCCCAGATAGGCATTTGGACACCTTGAGTATATTTTAGGGACTCCAGACATTAGATGTTTACTTATTTTTGAAGGTCTTGATTAGGTGATCAAGCTAAAGAATTGTTGCAGTGAGTCAGAAGGAGAGAAGGTAGTAGATACACAAAGTCACAATTTCAGAAGTGGTGCAATTGCTAGTGATGATAAATGTCGTAAGACAATAAAAATGAGTGTCTGCCATGAATTGAAAGAAATGATCTTTGGATTTTGGAAAATCAAGTAAACTGAGAAGCCAAAGAATAAAATAAGTCATCTACAGTGTTGTCGCTGAGGATGACAGTCATTAGCATAAATAGTAAGTTGAGTCACAAGTCAGTCTTTTGCCACTGAGGGGGAAGTAACTGGATAGTCAGTAAATGATAGCCAGAGAGAGGAGACAGGCAGTGTAGCCCACCTTAGGAGGGGCCTAGATTTTTTTTTTTTTTTTTAGGAATGATCTGAAAGCTATAGTCCTGACCCTGTGATACTACAATCAGAGAAGGGACAGACCCTGGATATGAGAGCTGTGGGGGAGGAGTTAAACCTTCCAGGGACTGAGGTGGAATTCCTGCATGCAGGTTGAAAATGTTAGAGTGTGATCACAGCAGGAATTCCTAGAGGGCAGGGTGAAGGAGTTTGGGAAGGAGTGAATGAGGAGATGATTCAGATCAGGAATCTGGAGATGGGAGTCCAGGTGGGTGTGGATACCTGGGGAGGTCTGCCTTCCCAGCAGTGTTGGAGATACAGAGTGAATGAGGAGGGATCAGTGCAGATAATGGAGAGGGGTAGCACTCAATTTTAGTGCTTTTGTCCCTTTTATTTGGGGTAGCTGCCTTCCCAGCAGTGTTGGAGATACAGTGTTGGAGAGTGAATGAAGTGGGATCAGTGCAGATAATGGAGAGGGGTAGCACTCAGTTTTAGTGCTTTTGTCCCTTTTATTTGGGGTGGCTCCCAGGGCTGCTGCTTCCCACAGCTTTACACAGTGAAGTGGGCATGAGGAGAAGGACCGCTCCTACAGTCTTAGGAGGCCTGAGAGGCTTTCCCTGTCACTGACCCAGTTGATTCTTTGGGCTTCATGGCCTGGAGATTTAGTAAAAGGTAACTGCAGAAAATTTGATATTTAAGTCTCCTAAGACTCGTGTTCAGGGATTTATACCGTATGGATTAAAAAAAAAAACACTTTTTGTTTTAGATGAAACTTGTAAAGAGATGAATTACAGTTTCAAAATGTATGTGCCATTCGTTGGCTTAGCATTTCTTACTCCTAGGAAAGTGAGGGGAGCTAGAAGTCTTGTTTCAAATCCATAAATTATCGTACTGGAAATGGACTAAAGGGACTTGAAGCAAGTGGGAGAAAGTGTGTCATCATCAAGTCTAAATCATAGTACTTTATTATCATTTATTTATGATCATCCCATTTATATATGGAAATAAATCAGTTTGTGGCAGGCTCTTCTGGAGTAAAAACAGTTTCTAATTAGCAAGGTATTTAAGAATGCCAGCGTTTAAAGTACTGTGTATTCATGTTTTTAAATAAGTATTTTATTACTCTGTATTTAATTTTATTGAGAGTGTTGCCTTAATTCCATTAACTGTTTTTCCTCCTCTTTTTTTCCTTCTTCACTATTTTAGTAATGGCAACATTGCAGCTACCAGCCACCAACTTAGCCAACCTGGCAAATTTGCCTCCAGGCACTAAACTGTACCTTACAACAAACAGCAAGAACCCTTCTGGAAAAGGAAAACTACTGCTGATCCCTCAGGGAGCCATCCTGCGCGCTACCAACAATGCCAGTTAGTCCATCATTAAATCATTTGATTCTTGGTCTCGGGGTATGTTTATTTCGTCCACCTGAGGGCAGTTCTTACCTGATGGAGGAAGAATTTCTGTAACTAGTGGTGTAATGGTAACATTCACCCAAATGAATTTAAAGCTCACCTAATTTTGCTAGAAGAGGGTTCAAATCATCACAGTCTTAGGAGATGGCGGTATTATTCTGGGTTCCTTTATTCATCCCTGGAGAAGTAGGGCTGCTGAGATTGTTTTGGGAAGAAGCTGTCTACCTGAAGGGTAAAGAAGGAGTTCTTCCTTTCACTGGTACCTGAAAACTGTCTGGTGATTCCTGAAGGAAGATTAGTCTGTTTCCAGGAGCTGGAAGTATATTTCATCTTCAAGGGGGTGGGAATACGACTAGAATCAAGTGTCCCTGCTTGCCATTCTTTAGATGTACTTTCTACATTTGCGAAGTTTGGAAATACAGAAATAAAGTTTCCCTATCAGTATGTACATCTGAAAGCCCCAAGGGAATTAGGTAGCTTCTCTAGAGTTAGCAGACAGTGAGGGTGATATTGAAAAGGAAAAGGTAAAGAATTTCCCTCAGTCAGAAGCAGAAGGTACGGCATAGGTTCGCTAGGAATTCAATAGTCTTGTCAAAACACAGCAGGCAAGCCCATTGCCATTTCTTTTACTCAGTGTGATGATCATTTCTACTCTCTTATCCTAATATTTTTTTCCTCATATAAGCAATGGTGTAAAAAAATTAGATATGTAAGAAAAGAACAGTATAAAATATTCCAAAATTCATTCATAAAGCTACTTGGATTTTTAGGATATCCTCAGAATCAAGATAAAGCACTGGGAAAGGATTTGTTCCAATAACAGTCAGCCATTAAGATGAGGAAGGAAGTTGAACTCTAATATTTATAAAGTGGCTGTTTATAATCCAGGTAGTTTATATACATTGTCTTAGCAAAAATAGTTTAAAAGGGCCATAGGCTTTGAAGTGGAATTTGAAATGCAAACAAGAATTATGCCCTAGAATATTTATAAATGTCTGATTTTTCCCAGGCCAAGAAGAACAGAAAGTACTAAAAAATTACACTGAATTCCAGCAGTTTCACTGAAATTGGTTCAGATGCCAGAAAGTTTTGAACTACCTGAGCAAATCCAAGTGTTGATGAAAACATAGCTCTTAAATATCAGTATCAGGATCTCATACAAGTAATTCAAAACACTTATCAAAAATAAATCCTTCATTGTACTTGTGGCTAAAATACAGTCAGTCGTCATTCAGTTGAAAACACAGGTCGAGGGGCCAGCGCTGTGGCATAGAAGGTTAAGCCTCTGCCTGCAGTGCTGGCATCCCACATGGGCTCTGGTTCAAGTCCCGACTGCTCCACTTCCAATCCAGCTCTCTGCCAGTCTGCCTGGGAAAGGAACAGAAGATGGCCCAAGGACGTGGGCCTCTACAGCCACAAAGGAAACCCAGAAGGGGTTCCTGGCTCCAGCCAGGCCCAGGCGCAGCCATTACAGCCATTTGGGGAGTGAACCTAATCTCTTCAGATCTCTTCCTCTCTGTGAATCTCTGCTTTTCAAATAAAAAAAAAAAAAAAAAAAAAAAAAACTTTTTTAAAAAAGGAAAAGAAGATACAGGTCAAGTATCCCTTACCTGAAATGCTTTGAACCAGAAGTGTTTTCAGATTGGGGGTATTTACATGGGCTCTCCTTGCTGAACTTCTCTAATCTGAAAATCCAGAATCTTAAGCTTTTTTTCAATTACTTTCTTTTTTTAAAGAATTATTTATTTATTTGAAAGGCAGAGTTACAGGGAGGCAGATGCAGAGAGAGAGAGGGAGGGAGGGAGGTCTGTCTTCCATTTGCTGGTTCACTCCCCAAATGGCCACAATGGCCAGAACTAGGCCAGTTTGAAGCCAGGAGCCAGAAGCTTCTTCTAGGTCTACCACCTGGGTGCAGGGGCCCAAAGATTTGGGCCATTATCTACAGCTTTCCCTGGCCATAGCATAGAGCTGGATCAGAAATGAAGCAGCTGGGACTTGAACTGTTGCCCACATGGGATGCCAGTACTGCAGGTGGCGGCTTTACCTGCTACACCACGGTTCTGGCCCCTATACTTTTTTTTTTTAATAAGGTTTATTTTTATTTTATGTATTTGAAAGAGTTACGGGGGGTGGGGAAGATATGGTTTACTCCTCAAATGGCTGCAATGGACAGGGCTACACCAGGCTGAAACCAGGAGGCAGGAGCTTCTTCTGGATCTCCCCTGTGGCTGCAGGAGCCCAAGGACTTGGGCCATCATTTGCTGCTTTCCCAGGCACATTATCCGGGGCTCAAACCAGTGCCCATGTGGAATGCTGGTGTTGCAGGCAAAAGCTTAACTTGTTATGCCACAATGCCAACCCCTCGGCATCTGAAACTTTTTGACAGTCATGTCAGTGCTCAAAAACTCTCATTTCAGATTTCACATTTTTGGATTAGGGATGCTCAGTCTGTAAGTAGGTTTTGGTCTTGTCTTCATACTAGGAAATTCTCTTCCTCTTACCACAGAATCTATATTATAGAAGAGAAACAGAAAGCAGGAAAGAAGGAGGAAGCGGCTATAAGGGAATCGTCTCTAGGCTCAGTTTGGTGGTTTTCTGCTGAACATTTGCCCAGTACTTTCACGATGCTGTTGTAATTTGTGTTTTTAGACCTGCAGTCTAGCTCAGCTGCTGGTGCTGCTGGTGCTGGTGCTGCTGGAGGAGGCGGTGGTGCTGGAGGAGGCAGCGGAAGTGGCGGGGGAGGAGCAGCAGGAGGAGGAGGAGCGGGAGGAACCCAGAGCAGTGGCGGCCCTGGTGGGATATCCCAGCACCTGACCTACACATCTTACATCCTCAAGCAGACGCCCCAGGTCTGGTCCTTGGTGACTGATCTCTAAATCACTTAGCTACTTGATAACTGCTTTTATTTATAGTTGATTTACTTCTCTGGGATCAGGGGTCAGCGGTTTAAATATTGTTATGGGCTTGTTTTGAGAGAAGAGGAAATCGATTCAGAAAGACTTAAGTAACTTATCCAAGATTAAGCTTATAGTACAGTTGGGGTTTTAATCCAGATATCTCTGCTTCAAAGAAAGATTTCTAAATCTATGGTATATGTCCCTAAATCTGTGAAGTAATAAACACTATTTATGTATTGTTGAAAGTTTGCTTTCAAAAGCAAGTGACCAAAGAGAGAGTATCAAATTGTGGTGTTTGGAGTTAGGCTAGAGTTAGTTAGTAACAGATTTCTACTTTTTTTTGTGGTCACTGAAATCTTGACTCTCCTGTGAGGAAGATACTACAATGTAAGTTCCCAACGTTAATACTGAGAAGCATGGAGAGTTACCAGTCTGAATGATTAAATTGGCTTTGAGGGCTAGATTATAAAACTTGAGTTTTCAGTAGCCTAACTCTGTAAGTACTATGTAGAATTTCATAATTGGAAGTAGAAACGTTACTTTGAGTTTCAGAATTCAAGGAGAGAGCATTGTTGCTCTCTCCTTGGAATCTTACGAATTAGAGCATGACAGCAAGTTATATGAGTTGAACAAATTGATTAGTCCCTTAATTTTGTTTTTCTAATTCAGGGTACATTTTTGGTTGGCCAGCCATCACCCCAGACATCTGGAAAACAACTGACCACTGGCTCAGTGGTGCAAGGAACCCTGGGAGTCAGCACATCCTCTACACAGGGACAACAAACACTCAAAGTCATCTCTGGACAGAAAACTACTTTGTTTACACAGGTAAATACACAACCCAAAATATGTGGTGATTGAAGCATTTATTTACCTATCTATAATTTCACTCTTTAAACAGAGAAGTAAAAATTACATTAGAAAGTGAACAGTAAACTAGTATAGGAAGATTAGAACAGATCTTGAGGTTTGGGAAAACATAAGTACAATAAAGAAAATAAGAGAAAATAAAAAAAGAAAAAAATAGAGAAAATAAGGCCAGGGATTATTCAGCCATGCAGACAGTAAAACTGAGAAGCTTGAGAAGTTAGCAAATTACACTATTTCTGAGGGGAAAGAAACACGTAATATTTCCTTAGAAGAAATAGATTTCCTTGATACTTCATTGGAAAAATTCTCTGAGGGAACTTCATCTAGGAGACCTTGTGTAATAGGCAGTTTCAGCCGCAGTATCCATACTGTAGGTGCCAATGGTGGGTTTGATGTATGTTTCTACAGCATCCTTTAGTATAAACCAAAGAACAGTGACGGAGTTTTTTTTATTTGTTTAAAGATTTTATTTATGAGGCTGGTGCTGTGGCATAGTGGGCTAAGCCTCTGCCTGCAGCACCAGCATCCCATGTGTGCGTGGGTTCATGTCCCCCCTGATCCTCTTCCAATCCAGCTCTCTGCTGATGGTCTGGGAAAGCAGTGGAAGGTGACCCAGGTGCTTGGGCCCCTGCACCCACGTGGGAGACCCAGAAGAAGCTCCTGGCTCTCTGTCTGTAACTGGCAGAATTACAGACAAAGGTCTTCTATCTGCTGGTTCACTCTCCAAATGACTGCAACAGCAGGAACTGGGCCGATCCAAAGCCAGGAGCCAGGAGCTTCTCCTCGGTCTCCCACGCGGGAACAGGGGCCCAAGCACTTGGGCCGTCTTCCACTGTTTTCTCAGACCATCAGCAGAGAGCTGGATCGGAAGAGGAACAGATAGGACACAAACTGGTGCCCATATAGGATGCTGGTGCCTTAGGCAGAGGCTTAGCCCACTAAACCACAGTGCTGGCCCCCTGACAGAGAGTTTTAACTGGGTGTGAGATGTCAGAATCTTATATAGGAGGATTCTATAGCTAGATTTCCAAAAATTTAACAAACAAACCAGAGATACTGAAGGGTTTCTACAATACAAATACAATCCCAAAAGCAATATTTTTGGGGCCAGCACTGTGGCATAGCAGGTTAAGCCTCCACCTGCCGATGTCAGTGTCCCCTGTGGGTGCCAATTTGAGTCCCCGCTGCTCCACTTCTGATTCAGTGCCATGCTAATGTGCCTGGGAAGGCAGTGGAAGATGGCCCAAGTGTTTGGGCCTCCGCCACCCACTTAGAAGCTCCTGGCTCCTGGCTTCAGTCTGGCCCAGGCCTAGCCATTGCAGCCATTTGGGGAGTGAGCCAACAGATGGAAGATCTCGATCTCTCTCTGTCTCCTTGTGTCTCCAAAACTCTACCTTTCAAATAAATAAATAAATGTGTTTTTTTTTAAAAAAAACTTTTTAAATATCTGTATTTAAATGTCAGCATTTCTCAAAACACGGAATGAATGTTAAGTTTTTGTCAGATACTTTCCCTGTGTCTATTGAGTTGACCATACGGTTCTCCTTGTTTTGTTTGTTAATATGATGAATCACATTTATTTGTCAGTTGTTAAACCAATCATGCATTCCTGGAATAAATCCCACATGGTTATTGTATGATTATCCTTGGTTAATATATTGTTGAATTGGACTATGCGGTTTTGTTAGTTTTTGCAGAGGGTGTTGGGCAGTAGTTTTCTTTGTAATTTCTGTTTGATTTGGTATCATGGTAATAATGTTGGCCTCATAAAATTAATTGGAAAGCTTCCATTCTTTTGTGGAAGAGTTTGCATAGAATTTTTATTACTTCTTTCTTAACTGCTTAGTAGAATATACCAGTAAAGCCATATTAGGGAGCCAGCATTGTGGCATGGTGGGTGAGGCCGCCACCTGCAGTGCCGGCATCCCATATGAGTGCCAGTTTGAGTCCTGGTTACTCCTCTTCCAATCCAGCTCTCTTCTGTTGCCTGGGAAAGCAATGGAAGATGGCTCAAGTCTTTGGGCCCCTTTGCCCACGTGGAAAGACCTGGAGGAAGCTCCAGGCTCCTGGCTTTGGATTGGTGCAGCTCCTGCCGTGGCGGCCAAGTGGGGAGTAAACTAGCAGATGGAAGACCTCGCTCTCTCTCCCTCTCTCTCTCTCTGTAGTTCTGATTTTCAAATAGATAAATAAATCTTGAAAAAAAAAAAAAAGCCATATCGGCCTGAAGTTCTCCTAATTGAGAAGGTATCTTGCCAACATTTTAAATTCATTTAAAGATAAAAGATAGTTCTGGTTGTTTTTTTCTTCTTGAGGAAGGCATGATAGTTTGTGTCTTTTAAGGAATTTTTCCATTCAACTAAACAGTCAAATCACTGGCATAAGGTATTCCGAGTCCCCTTTTGACGTCCTTGAAATCTCAACCCAACCTCCCACTCTCTGCAGCTCATCCCCTGCTTTCCATTTTTGGTTTTGGTGATTGTCTTCTCTTTTTTCCTTTGTCATTCTAGCTAGAGGTTTATCAATTCATTTATCTTTGCAAGTTTCCAGCATTTGGTATGCTTCAGTACTAATTTCCCTTTCCTCAGATATCCTTGGCTAGTTCAGTGTAGTTCAGGCACTACACTTCACTTCAGGCCATTCTTTCAACTCTTAGCAGATCTCTTCCCTGCTTGTGTTGCAGCCAGTGGCGACTTCCTCCTTGCCATTCTCCAAGAGTTGGTTACTGTTGTTTCTTCCTCCTTGGAAAGACTGTCTTTATTTTATTTATTTATTTATTTTTGACAGGCAGAGTGGACAGTGAGAGAGAGAGACAGAGAGGTTTTCCTTTTGCCGTTGGTTCACCCTCCAATGGCCGCCATGGCTGGCGCGCTGCGACCAGTGCACCACACTGATCTGATGGCAGGAGCCAGGTGCTTCTCCTGGTCTCCCATGGGGTGCAGGGCCCAAGCACTTGGGCCATCCTCCACTGCACTCCCTGGCCACAGCAGAGAGCTAGCCTGGAAGAGGGGCAACCGGGAAAGAATCTGGCGCCCCGACCGGGACTAGAACCCGGTGTGCCGGCGCCGCTAGGTGGAGGATTAGCCTAGTGAGCCGCGGCGCCGGCCGATTTTTTTCTTTTTAAAGATTTATTTATTTAGTTATTTGAGAGGTAGAGTTACAGAGAGAGCGAGGGAGAGACAGAAAGGTCTTCCACCCAGTGGTTCACTCCCCAGATGGCCACAACAGCTGGAGCTAGGCTGATCTGAAGCCAGGAGCTTCTTCAGGGTCTCCCACATGGGTATAGGGGCCCAAGCACTTGGGCCATCTTCCACTGCTTTCCCAGGCCATAACAGAGAGCTGGAACAGAAGAGGAGCCTCTGGGATTTGAACCAACACCCATATGGGATGCCGGCACTGCGTGTAGAGGCCCCCGTAAAGACTATCTTTAGAGTTCAGGTTACTTTTAAAGACTTTGTTCTGTTGTTTGTCCACCATCGGGTGCCTCCACTAGCTTATGAGCACAACCAATTGAGTAGTGTCTTTAACTATTTATCTTTTCTCTTTTTTTGATTTTTTCCTTTTTTGACATGGTGCTGGGAGAAGTATTGCTGCTTGTGCTTTAGTCCGCAATTTTTAAAAAAAAAATATTTATTTGAGAAACAAGGAGAGAGAAATCTACCACCCACTGGTTCATTCCCTAAATGCTCACAACAGCTGGGCCTAGCGCAGCCTGAAACCAGGAGTCTGAGATACTTTCCAGGTTTCCCACATGGGCAGCACGGACCCAACTACTTGAGCCATCCCCAAATGAATGCCTCTCACGGTCAACATTAGCAGGACGGAAGCTGGAGTCAGGAGCCAGAGCCAGGTATTGAGCCTAGGTACTCCAGTATGAGATGCAGGTGTCTCAGTTGGCATCTGAACTGCTAGGCCAAAGGCCCACCCTAGTTTACCACTCTCAACCCTGAACAGAGAAGTTTCTAAAGTTTTATTCATTTATTTGAAAGGCAGAGTAATGGGGAGAGACAGAGAAAAAGTGAACCATCTACTGGTTCACTCCCTGAATCCCATAACTGGGTCTGGTCCATGCTGATGCCTGGAACTAAGAACTCAGTGTGAACCTCCCATGTGGGTGGCAGGAACCCAAGTGCTTGAGCCACCAACTGCTGCCTCCCAGACACATTAGAAGGAGTGGAGGCTGCACTTTCTTAAGAGATACTGGCATTCAAAGTGTCAGCTTAACCTCCTTTTCTACAACACGCACCCTGAGAAATGCTTTTTTAGTGATTAAAGTAAAGGTGCTTGTGGGGAGGCATTTGGCAGAGCAGTTAAGCCGTCTCTTGGGTTGCCAGTGCCCCATATCCAAGTGCCTGGTTTGAGTCCCAGCTCCTCTGCTTCCAGACCAGCTTTCTGGGAGGCAGCAAATGATGGTTTGAGCCCTGTCACTCAGGTGGGAAACTCAGTTGGAGTTCAGGGCTCCTGGCTGTGGCCTACCCCAGCCCTATCTATTATAATCATTTGGGAAGTGAGCCAGTGGAAGATTTCTGTCTCTGTCTCTGGTCTTTCTCCATGCCTCCAAATAAGAATGAAATAAATAATACATTTTTTAAAATAAAGAGTTCTACTTTACCAAAAAAGAAATTAAGGTCCATGTACCATGAAGGTAAAATAGTGTAAATTTGCATTGAACTATGGTAGCAGAACATAGAAGGTATAAAAACTATTAGGAATATGAAGATAATTAATAAAACTACAGTTAAAGGGAGATTTTATTTTGACTCTCAGAATTTAGCTAATCACATGGATAAATCCTGTTAGAAAAAAAGGATTTGAATTGGAATAACACTGTGAACAGGCTTAATTATGTAAAAATTTCAGTCACATTTTACTTTTTTGCCTACGGAATGTGAACAAATTTATACTCAGCCCCCAAAAGAATCTTAGCATATTCCAAAAGTATCATTCATTATACCTCATTCTCTTAGCCAGTAAAAAACTCAAATCAATAATAACCAAAAAACACTTTGAAATGAAAATACTCTAAATTCACCAAGAAAGCAAAATGAATTATGGCTTTAGATTGGAACACAATTACTAGTTTTATTAGTTAGGGTTCTGCAGAAAAGCAGAACCAGTAGGATAGAGGAGATTTACCATAGCAGCTGGCTCATGCAGTTCTGAAGACTGAGAAGTCCAAGTTGGAGAACCATCAAAGCTGGTGGTGTGCCTGAGGCTGAGGCTAAAGATCTGAGAACTGGCAAGGCTGGGAGTGAGGGGCACACAGTCATAAATTCTGGAGTCAAAGTTGCCAGATCAGGGGCTGTGATGTCTAAGGACAAGAAAAGATGAAAGTTTCAGCTTAAGGAGAGAGAGGGAATTCTCCCTTCTTTTTGTTCTAGTGGATCTCTTAACAGATTGGATGATGCCTGCCCACTTTGGTGAGGGTGCTCTTCTCCTGATTGAAATGCTAATCTGTTCTGGGAATACATGTTTACCAGCTATTTGGGCATCTCTTAACACACTTAAGTTGACATAAAATTAACTATCACAGAACATCATATTGAAGCTGTGGAAGCAACTCAAAACCAAGCTGTAGAAAAGCTAAAGCTTTAAATACTTTTTTCATTATTTCCCACATCTTTTATTAAGGCATCATTTCTGTGATCAAAAAGAGATCCTAAGTGTACTACTGCTCAGTGAGTTTTGACCAGTATATTTGTTTTTTTTGTTTGTTTGTTTGTTTGTTTTTTGACAGGCAGAGTGGACAGTGAGAGAGAGAGACAGAGAGAAAGGTCTTCCTTTGCCGTTGGTTCACCCTCCAATGGCCGCCGCGGCCGGCGCACCGCACTGATCCGATGGCAGGAGCCAGGTACTTATCCTGGTCTCCCATGGGGTGCAGGGCCCAAGGACCTGGCCATCTTCCACTGCACTCCCTGGCCACAGCAGAGAGCTGGCCTGGAAGAGGGGCATCTGGGACAGAATCCGGCGCCCCCACCGGGACTAGAACCTGGTGTGCCGGCGCTGCAAGGCAGAGGATTAGCCTAGTGAGCCGCGGTGCCGGCCTTGACCAGTATATTTGTTCATGCAAACACTGTTGCAATCAAAATAACAGTATTTCTCAACACTCTAAGCATTCCCTTTATTTTATCCTATTACCATTTTTCTATTTCTTTCACAATAGATTAAGTCATTGCCTATTTTTAAAGTTCTGTACAGTATGTACTCTGTTGTGTCATTCTGTTCATCATGTTTCTGAGATTTACCCATATGTGTATCAGTAGCTTTTTTTTTAAGGTTAATTTATTTGAGGGGCCAGCACTGTGGTACAGTATTAATCCTCCGCCTGCGGCACCGTCATCCCATATGGGCGCCGGTTCTAGTCTCGGCTGCTCCTCTTCCCATCCAGCTCTCTGCTATGGCCTGGGAAAGCAGTAGAAGATGGCCTGAGTTCTTGGGCCCCTGCACCCACATGGGAGACCGGGAGGGGGCGCCTGGCTCCTGGCCTCGGATCAGTGCAGCTCCGGCTGCTGCGGCCATTTGTGGAGTGAACCAACGGAAGGAAGACCTTTCTCTCTGTCTCTCCTCTCGCTGTCTGTAACTCTACCTCTCAAATAAAAATAAATAAAATCTTTAAAAAAAAAAAAAGATTAATTTATTTCAAAGGAAGTGTAACAAAGAGAGAGAAACAAAGAGCTTCCATCTGCTGTTTCACTCCCCAAAGGGTCACAACAGCCAGGACTGGTTTAGGCTGAAGCCGAGAACCAGGAAATCCATCCTGGTCTTCCACATGAGTGGCAGGAACTCAGGTACTTGACCCCATTGTACACTGTTTCCCAGGCACCTGAGCAAGGAGCTATATTGGAAACAGAGTAGCCAGGACTCAAACCATTTTTTTTTTTTTTTTAAGATTTATTTATTTATTTATTTATTTGAAAGTCAGAGTTGCAGAGAGAAAGAGAGAGGTCTCCCATCCGATGGTTCACTCCCCAGATGGCCACAACGGCCAGAACTGCGCCGATCCAAAGCCAGGAGCTTTTTCTGGGTCTCCCATACGGGTGCAGGGGCCCACGGACTTGAGCCATCTTCTACTGCTCTCTCAGGCCATAGAGAACTGGATCAGAAGTGGAGCAGCCGGATCTTGAATTGGTGCCCATATGGGATGCCAGTGCTTCAGGCCAGGGCTTTAACCCTCTGCTCCACAGTGCCAGCCCCTCAAACCACTTCTTAAAAGAGATGTGCCCAACCCAAGTGGTAGTTTAATGCAATAATAATAATAACTTGGAAGAGTTACAGAGAAATGTGGAGAGACATAGATCTTCCATCCGCTGATTTTCTCCCCAAATGGCTGCAATGGCTGGAGCTGGGCCCATCTGAAATAGGAGCCAAAATCCTTTTCTGGGTCTCCCATGTGGGTGCAGGGCCCAAGCACTTCAGCCATCCTCCACTGTCTTCCCAAGCCACCAGCAGGGAGCTGGATTGCAAGTGGAGCAGCCAGGACTCTGGTCCAATCCACTACACCACAGCGCTAGCCCCTAAATGTATGCTTATAAGAAGTGGACAAACAACTTGATAAAGTGGCTGTAACTCTCCCATATGTCATGTGGGACAGTTCCAGTTGCTCTACATCTTTACCAGCATGGAAGAACATCATTCTTTGCCATTTTAGCTATTTTTGTGAGTGTGAAATGATATAGTTTTAATTTTCAAAGACTCCAAAGCAAATTATGCCATGGCTGTTATTTCTGGTCTGTGATCATGGCTTCTTCATTTACTGTGTGACTGTGGTTAAAGTTGCTGAGCTTCATTTCCTCTAAGACAGAATTAAAATCCATCCTGTGAAGGTGATGAAGAGATTGACTCAGGAGTGCCACAGATACATACACATGCTTTCTGCTGTTCCTGGTGCTCAGTAATGGACTCTTAGAGACCGACAGATGACACTTACTGTGGAATATGTTAATTTCTGTATTTTTTGCAAATATTTTATTGCAACATAGCCCCACCTATTTCATACTGTAATAGCAGAGTTGAGAAGTTGCACTGAAGATTCTGTGGTGTGGAGCTGGCACTGTGGTGTAGTGGGTAAAGCCGCCTCCTGCAGTGCTGGCATCCCATGTGGGCTCCGGTTCAAGTCCTAGCTTCTCAACTTCCGATCCGGCTCTCTGCTATCGGCTGGGAAAGCAGGAGATGGTCCAAAGTCCTTGGGCCCCTGCAGCAGCGTGGGAGACCCAGAAGAAGTTCTTGGCTCCTGACTTTAGATAGGCACAGTTCCAGCTGTTGTGGCCAATTGGAGAGTGAACCAGTAGATGGAAGACCGACCTCTCTCTCTGCATCTCCTTCTCTGTGTAACTCTGACTTTCAAGTAAATAAATAAATCTTTAAAAAAAAAAGGTTTCTGTGGTGTGCAAAGCAAAAAATGCTTGTGACATTTACAAAAGAGTTTGCAGAGATTTGATTTAGACTGCTCTGACAGTTGTTGGGTGGTTCTCTAGTACTAAAATGCCACGCCAGCACCTAGCCAAGAACACTATTAACTTGCCCTCTTAAATCTGGTCCTGTCTGGATTTGAATTTCATGTTTAAATATTATATATACATTTGAGAGCACTGTGGATTCAACTGCTTTAAAAACAAATGGCCTGTTTCTTTGAAGACCCTGCTGCCAAGTAGTAATTTTCAGTGCGTTCAGATACTTGCTCTGTATGAGTATTGGGGGTAAAGGAACATGAGTAGGTTAAAGATCATGGAATTTAGAGCTGGTTAGAAAGGTGCATAAATGCCTAACACCTCATATAGTTTTTATTAATAAAAATTTCTTGGATAACCTCTGGTTTTGGGGACATAACTTCAATGTAGATGAGGAATAAATTATGCCTGTTAATTAACTTCTATCCGTTTTGTTTCTGCAGGCAGCTCCTGGGGGACAGGCATCTCTAATGAAAATATCTGATAGTACCTTGAAGTCTGTGCCCGCTGCCTCACAACTCTCCAAGCCTGGAACCACGATGCTCAGAGTAGCAGGAGGAGTCATCACAGCTGCTGCCTCCCCAGCCATGGCCCTGTCAGCAAATGGTCCTGCACAGCAGGCAAGTTTTACATAACTGTTGAAAATCATCACGAAACATGAAAGTACCTGCTATAAAGAAGGCCTTTTTAAAAAAACTGAAATGTTGCTCCTTTTTAAAAATTGGAAAATTCACATAGTGTAAAATCCACCATTTTATAATGTACACTTCAGTGGTTTGTATTATATTCACAGAGTGGCGCAGCTATCATTATCATCATCTAGAGACCCCATACCTGTTAGCAGTCATTCCCCAGTTATCTCTTCTGTCAGCCATAGGCAACCACTCATCTTTCTTTGTGAATTTGCTTATTCTGAACATTTCATATAAATATGCAGCAGTAGCCTTTTATGTCTGATTTCTTTTTCTTCAAATTACATTTTCAAGGTTTTGTCCATGTTGTAACAATCGTTAATAATGCCAGTCCTTTTTACAACTGAATGTTAGTTGGATTTATAGATATACCACAGTTTGTTTATCCATTTATTAGTTGATAGACATCTAGGTTATTTTCTACTTTTTGGTTTATGAATAATGCTTCTAGGAATATGTATATACAAGTCTTTGTATAAACATATGTTTTCATTTCACTTGGCTGTATACCTAAGAATGAAGTTTCTGAATCGTATGGTAACTCTTTGTTTAGCATTTGAGGAACTACCAAACTCATCCCAAATGACTGCACAGTTTAGATTTCCATCAGCCATGTACAAACTTCCCTCCCTCCTTCTGGATATGCAGTGGTATCTTGTTATAGGTGTTGTTTGTTTTAAGGAATCATTGTTAAATGTGTGGCATATTTTCTGAATTTATGGATTGTGGTCTCATTTTTTAATGTAGTTTTCTTTTTTATGTTTGTGGTTTCTCTTTTCCTTTAATCTTTACTTTCACTTTTAAAGTTTTATTTGATCTTCCATCCAAGCAAGATGTGGGCTGTGTTGAAGCCAGGAGCTCAGAACTCAATCCGGGTCTCCAGCATGGATAGCAGAGACCCAAATAACTTGAGTTTCCTAGTATGCACGTTAGCAGGGAACTAGATCAGAAGCAGAAGAACTGATACCAGACCAGGCACAGGAATCCAGGCAGCATCTTAACTACTGTGCCAGATGCCCGCCCTCTCTTTGTGGTTTTGGTTTGCAGTTCCCTAACAGCTGATGATACTGAGCATCTTTCCATGTCCTTATGGTCCATTTGCATATCTTTGAAGAAACGTCCATTCAGATCCTTTGCCCATTTTCACTGGACTCTTTATTATTGAATTATAGGAGATCTTATAGCAGTTTGTAAAAATTTTCTCCTACTGTGAGTTGTCATTTCACTTTTTTTGATGGTATCCTTTGAAACACAGAAGTTTGGTTTTGTTTTTTTGAAGGAGTTACAGAGAGAGAGGGAAAGACAGAGAGAAAGATTTTGTTTGTATCCACTGGTTCACTCTCAAAATGGCTGTAATGGCCAGGGCTGGGCCAGGCCAAAGCCAGAAGCCAGGCCCCATAGCTTCATCTGGGTCTTCCACATGTGTGCAGGGGCCCAACATATCTTCAGCTGCTTTCTAGGCACATTAGCAGGGAGCAGGATCGGAAGTGGAACAGCCAGGACTTGAATTGTAGATGGCACGTAACCCATTGTGCCAAAGTGCTGGCCCCGAAACACAAAAGGGGTTTTGTTTTTTTTTTTTTTTTTAAAGATTTTATTTATTTGAGAAGCAGAGTTACAGACAGAGAGAGAGGCAGAGACAAAGGTCTTCCATCCACTGATTCACTCCCCAAACCACAATGGCTGAAGCTGGACCAATCTGAAGCCAGGAGCCAGGAGCTCTTCAAGTCTCCCAAGTAGGAGCCCAAGCACTTGGCTGTCTTCCACTGCTTTCCCAGGCCATAAACAGAGAGCTGGATCAGAAGAGCAGCAGCCAGAACACAAACCAGTACTCATATGGGATGCCAGCACTGCAGGCAGAGGCTTAGCCCATTACACCACAGCGCTGGCCCCAAAAGTTTTAATTTTAATGAAGTCCAATTTACTTCTTTTTCTTTTATTGTTCTCATGGTGTGGTATCTAAGAATACAAGATTATAACATTTAAGCCTACATTTTCTTCTGAGATTTGTATAGTTTTATATCTTACATGTAGGGCTTTGGTTCATTTTTCATTAATTTTTGCTCATGATATAAGTTGGAGGCCACACTGATTATGTATGTAACCAGTTGGTCCAGCAGCATTTGTTGAAGGTTATTTCCCCTCTGGGTCATCTTGGAGCTCAGGGAATTTTATGATCTGACTTTGCTTATTTCTGAAGCTTCATTTCCTAACTGCTTTGGTCACTAGTCATATACTTTGCAAATCCTTGAACACAATGATTTTTCCACGCCCTTCTGGCTCTCTGTACCCTCTCTGCCAAGAAACACTCTTAATATTTCTCTCTTTCTCTGGAAGATTCTGAAGCTCTTCCCTGTGCCCTCCGTTCCCATCTAGAGACAGAAGCAGTGACTTTGTTCTCAGCTGCACATTTTGGGGACTGTTTCCTCCTCGATGGCTTTTGTCTCTGAGCCCTAGCATTCCAGACTATGCCTGCCATGTGGTAGATGTTTGTTGAATGAAGTGACAGACTTAAAACATTTATGTGAGTTCTCAGTACAGCCCATTTTATCTCATTTTTACGTTCAGAGAATCTGTCTTCCTTCTTTTTTAGTGTTGACACAGCCTTTTATAAAGTGAGACAATAGGTGGTGAATTTTTTTTAATTGGTTACCTTATGAATATTTCTTTGTATGTAAATTTTTAAACTTTCCTAGTTCATAAAATCTAAAAGTACAGAAACCACAGTCATTTTTAAATGGTATGACATTTAGTAGATAGATAATAACAACTAATAGGTAATATTACTGAGTGCTATGTGGGAGTCATTGTTCTAATTACATTACACTGCTTTCTTACTGTCTTTATTTGTGGCCTCGTGGGTGAGCAGGCGGAAGGAACAGCTCCAGGTTCGTCAGCTTCTATCAGTTCTGTAATGAAAACATCTGGGCAGCAGCAGGTGTGTGTGAGCCAGGCGACTGTGGGAACCTGCAAGGCTACCACCCCCACCGTCGTCAGTGCCACATCCCTGGTGTCTACACCAAACCCCATCTCTGGGAAAGCCACAGTATCGGGTCAGTTGTATCATGATATTATTTTTCTCTCTTTTTCTCTTTGAGCTAGAGTATTTTTGAAGGATATTACATAATATTTGGTATAATAAATTATTAACAAATAATTTAGCAACATTTTTTCATAAAGCTGCTTTTTAGGTAAATTATTGTTGTTTAAAAGATTCATTTATTTATTTGAAAGAATTACAGAGAGGAGGGAGAAACAAGAGAGAGATCTTCTTGTGATTCACTCCCTAGGTGGCTGCAACGGCCAGGCCAAAGCCAGGAACCAGGAGCTTTTTCTGGGTCTCCCAAGTGGATACAGGGGCCCAAGCACTTGGCCCATCCTCTGCTGCTTTCCCAAGCCCCTTAGCAGTAAGCTAGATGGGAAGTGGAGCAGCTGGGACTTAAGATGACACCCATATGAAATGCCGGCACTGCAGATAGTGGCTTAACCCCTGTGCCACAGCACTAGCCTCAAATTGTTATTTATAATCTATATAAAGTTTTAAGCTGGAGACCTCAAATTTATCATTTAAAAGTTATTTCTCAGAGGCAGGCGTTCTGCATATCAGTCAAGATGCTGCTTGGGATGCTTGTATCCAATACCAGGGTGCTTGGGTTGGAGTCACCGCTCCTCTGCTTCTGACTTCAGCTTCCTGCAAATGTGCACCCTGGGAGGCAGCAGGTGACAGCTCAAGTATTTGAGTCCCTGCAACCCATATAGGATCCCCAGAATGAGTTCCCAGGTTCTGGGTTTGGCCTGGCCCAATCTCTGCTGCTTCAGGCATTAGGGGAGTGAACCGGTGTATGAAAAATCTCTGTGTGTGTCTGTCTCTCTGCCTTTCAAATAAATAATTTTTTTAATTGTTAGTAATTTTTCAGTGATACAATAAACTGTGGCCACTGGCACCCTATTGCTGTTGTCATAATTTGTGGACAGATGAGAGTCTGTTCTCCATAGGAAACAAACAACTCCCTCCTTTCCTTCCTTCCTCCCTCCCTCCGTTTCTTCTATCTTCCCTTCCCCTTCTTCCTTAACAGTTTTGAATGGAATTCATAAAACATACCATATGTTTCTTTGCTTTCAAAAGATATACATGAACCTTGATGACTCCAAATCATGATCTTTTTAGAAAAGATTTATTTGTTTATTTGAAAGCCAGAGCAACAGACTGGGAGGGACAGAAATCTTCCATCCATTGTCTCCACAGGGCTGGGCCAGGCAGAAGCCAGGAGCCAGGAACTCCATCCTGATCTCCCAAAAGGCTAGCAGCAGCTCAAGTACTGGGGCCATTTTCTGCTGCCTTCCCAGGCACGTTAGCAGAGAGCTGGATAGGAAGTAGAGCAGCTAGAACTTGAACTGATGCTGTGATACGGGATGCCAACATTGTAAGCAGTGGCTAACCTTACACTGTGCCTTGAGACCGGCCCCTTGCTCAAGTCATGATTTTTTTTTTTTTTTGAAGATTTTATTTATTTATTTGAGAGGCAGAGTTACAAGGAGAGGCAGAGACAGACAGACAGATCTTCCATCCACTGTTTGACTCCCCAAATGGCTGCAATGGCAGGAGCTATCCCAGTCCAAAGCCAGGAGCTTCTTCTGGTCTCCCACATGGTTGCAGAGGCCCAAGCAGTTGGGCTATCTTCCCAGGCCATAAGCAGAGAGCTGGATCAGAAGAGGAGCAGCGAGGACATGAACTGGCGCCTGTATGGGATGCTGGTGCTGCAGGCAGAGGTTTAGCCTAATACACTACACTGCCTGTCCCAAGTCATGGTTTTTAACACGGTAGTGTTAGAGAGTGATATCCTTGGTCCGGCAAGATACACATGGCAGGCACTTCAAAGAGGTCATGAGGGCCGGTGCCGTGGCTCACTAGGCTAATCCTCCGCCTTGCAGCGCCAGCACACCGGGTTCTAGTCCCGGTTGGGGCGCCGGATTCTGTCCCGGTTGCCCCTCTTCCAGGCCAGCTCTCTGCTGTGGCCCAGGAGTGCAGTGGAGGATGGTCCAAGTGCTTGGGCCCTGCACCCCATGGGAGACCAGGAGAAGCACCTGGCTCCTGCCTTCGGATCAGCGCGGTGTGCCGGCTGCAGTGTGCCGGCTGAGGTGGCCATTGGAGGGTAAACCAATGGCAAAGGAAGACCTTTCTCTCTGTCTCTCTCTCACTGTCCACTCTGCCTGTCACATGTCCTAAAGAAGGAGGAAAGGTAGATATAATTTAAAATCGAGGTCATGAAAATGGAATTAAAGGATAAGTTCAGGGGCCGGTACTGTGGCATAGCAGGTAAAGCCACTGCCTGCAGTGCCAGCATTCCATGTGGGTGCCGGTTCAAGTCCCAGCTGCTCCACTTCTGATCCAGCTCTCTGCTATGGCCTGGGAAAGCAATAGAAAATGGCCTAAGTCTTTGGGTTCCTGAACCTGCGTGGGAGACATGGAGGAAGCTCCTGGCTTTGGATCAGCCCAGCTCTGGCCATTGTGGCCATTTGGGGAGTAAACCAGCAGATGGAAGACTTCTCTCTCTGTCTCTTTGCCTCTGCCTCTCTGTAACTCTCTGCCTTTCAAATAAATAAATCTTTATCTAAAAATAAAAGGTTCATGGATTTTGAAATCATTTTTTTGTTTGTTTGTTTTGAGAAATAGACAGTTGGAGAGAATACTCCCATCTGCTGGTTAACTCCCCAGATCATAATGGCCCCAGGCTGGTGGCCAGAGCCCAAAAATGCAGGTCTCCCATATGAGTGGCAGGGACACTACTACCCAAGCCATCACAACTATCTTCCTGGGTACACATTAGCAGCAAGCTGGAATTGGGAGCATAGCCAAGATGGGATGTATGTTTTAATTACATTTTTCATGAACTTTTTGAAGTACCCTCATGTGATAGCTTTGCTCCCACACTAAATGCCCCCATAAAAGTATCCCTGTTACTTCTTTGAATAATAGCATAAGTCTTGAGGCCAGATTGCCCTGGTTGAAGTTACTTGCTTCAGTTTCCTGCCTATAAAATGAAGTTGATAATTGTCGTATTGCCCTCATAAAGTTGAAAGGTTTCAGCATACAGATGTATAGAACACTGGCTGGCATATAAAGGCCATTGTATAAATAAATGCTGCCATAATCTTGTCAATGTCATCATTCTTTTGTTGCTCCTTAATCCTTATTTGCAATTCTAAAATTCAAAACACTGTGAAAACCGAAAGTTTTATATTCCATAACTAATTTTAGCACACAACAGCTTATTTATACCACCTAATATAAATATTTCTGTAGTTTCGCCACAGAAATACTGATGTGTTGGATTACATCATGTTGTCCCAGATATGAGGGGGACTGATATAATATATATGGTTTTGTTTTTCTACAATTCAGTATAGACAGATACTTCTGTCAAATACTGCAGAAGTGTCACAGCAATGTCACACTGTTCCATAGTTTTCTAAACATTCTTAATTTCTGTGTTATCTTGTTGCAGATTGATAACAACCAGTTCACCAGCTGGCACTGGTCTACAAAAAAAACTGAGTATCACTAAGAGAAAGACACACACACACACACACACACACGTACATATATCTTTCTTTGAGAGACCATGGATGTTGTTATCACTACATTCTGTACATGGCTCCAAAACAGCCCTTGTATCTTGTGTGCTTTCTGGATGGAGAACGGAAGATTAAGGCTAATTATATTTTTGCCGTCATTCCCATCTCCCATTTTCTAGTACAGGGAGGTCTTGTTTCTACTGAATGTTTTGTTGGCGGCCTTTTGTTAGGCCTTGAGTAGTAATTGTAGAGACATGAGGAATTGTTATTGTAATTATTGAGTGCCTTCCCCTGCTGCTTTTTTTTGATCAAATTTTTAATGCAATTTAAATGAAATTTCCTTGCTGTCAGTTCTGGTTTCCTAAAATGCTGTTGATGAAGCTTTCTATATAATTTCATAAAAGAATTAAGCTATTTCCTACTGATTACCAGCACTTTAAAAAATTTTTTGTGCAATTATAAACTTTGAAATAGGGTCATCATTGTGATGGAAACAGAGTGAGCAAGGGAGAGAGAAAACAGATGAGGCAGAATGTGTAGGCCTTTATAGGTGATTTTAAGAACTCAACTTTTTCTAGGGCTGGGCAGGGGAGCCAGTGTAGGGTTTAAGCTATGGAGTAGCATGTTTTGCTTTGAAAAGGAATGGCATCCATGGATACAAACTGTGGGGTGCCAAGTGGAAGCTTGGAGTAGACTACAAAAGAAACTCAGTGATGTGTCAGGAAACTTCCAGCAGACTGAAAGGAAGCAGAACATAGTGAGAAGAAAAGATCCAAGAAATAGAAACAAAAAACTTCCCAGATTTCAGGGCATGAACTTCCACATTTAAAAAATAGTATCCAAACACAGCGAATGGAAACGACCTACCTCCAGGTGCTATTTGTTCAGGAAATCACGTCACTAGGGACAAGAGCTCTTAAACGCTGTCAGAAAGAGAAATTTCCAGAAATTACATTATCTTTGAACTTTTCAGTAGCAGTGCAAGAAGCTAAGCACACTGTTTTTTGGGGGAGGAACACTTTTATCATTCTAGAAAAGCAATCAGCAAATCTACAGAGCATACTGAATGGTAAAATACTGCAGTGGGAGTTCACAGGCTGTAGTGAACTGCAGGGTATTCAGAGAGCTTGAGGCAAGGGGAAGTTTGTGTTGTTTTATGTTTTAAGATTATTTGAAAGGCAAAGTGACGGAGAGAGACAGAGAGATCTTCCATCTGCTGGTTCACTCCCCAAATGGTCCTAACAGTCAGGCCATAGCCAGAAACCACGAACTCCCTTCTGGTCTCCCCATGGGACACAGGGGCCCAAGTACTTGGGCCAACACCCATTGCCTTCTCAGGTGCATTAACAGGGAGCTGGATTGAAAATGGAACAGCCAAGATTCAAACTGGCATTCCAGGATTCCAGGATGCCGTGTCACAAGGAGCAGTTTAACCTGCTGCGTGCTACACCAGCCCCAAGGGGAGATTTTTAAAGGCAGACCCAGGCTTACATCAGATATTGTGAAGCAGTAATCTTTGCCCACAATGATTAATAACCAGGGTGACAGTAGTTCTAGTTGAACAGACAGTTGCTGGGCAGATGTCAGTGTAGAGATGCTTTTTATATTTAAAAAAAAAAAAAAAAAAGGCCTTTCTGCAAGCATGCGATTCTGCCGGAGTCATTTGTGATAGTCACTGTCAGGCAGTCATGCGTGAGAGCCCTTCATATCCTCCCAGCTTTATGTAATTTTTATTAGGATTAACCACGAGAGTGACAACTTTCTTACTTTTTTTTTTTTTTCAAGATTTATTTATTTAATTGAAAGGCCGAGTTACAGAAAGGAAGAGGCAGAGGCAGAGAGAGATCTATCCATTGGTTCACTCCCCAGATGGTCACAACAGCTGGGTCTGCGCCAGGCAGAATCCAGAAGTCAGGAGCCAGGAACTGCTTCTGGGCTTCCCACGTGGGTGCAGGGGCCCAAGCACTTGGACTATCTTCCGCTGTTTTCCCAGGCACATTGGCAGAGAGCTGTATTCGAAGTGGAGCAGCCAGGACTCGGACTGGCGCCCATATGGGATGATGGTGTCTCAGGCAGAGCCTTAACCCACTATGCCACATCACCAGCCCTTTTCACACTTTCAAGTTAGAATTCTTCAGTCAGGGAAATCATTACTGAGTGAGGATAGAAAGATTTTTTTGACGGGCAGAGTTTCAGATGTGTTTCCTGTGCACCCTATCCAAAGATACTACTGAATTGTATGTGTTACAAAAAGTAAAGAAGTGTAACTCAAGAAAAAAGAAAGCAAGCAGAAGATTCGATGTAGAAGGAAGGTAAAGGGAGTTCCTAGGGTAACAGAGAAAGGACAGTCTTACGATAAGAACTTTGTGGCAGGCCTAGAAAGCAAGGTCAGAGTAGGTCAGAGATACCTTATCTAAAGCAAGCCTGCGGGCAGCGCTGTGGCGTAGCAGGGAAAGCTGCCGCCTGTGCAGGCATCCCATATGGGCGCCGGTTCGAGTCCCAGCTGCTCCACTTCCGATCCAGCTTTCTGCTATGGCCTGGGAAAGCAGTAGAGGATGGCGCAAGTCCTTGGGCCCCTGCACCCATGTGGGAGACCTGGAAGAAGCTCCTGGCTCCTGGCTTTGGATTGGTGCAGCTCCGTCTGGCCAACTGGGGAATGAACCAGCAAGTGGAAGACCTCTCTCTCTCTCTCTCTTTTTTTTCCCCTCCTTCTCTCTCTCTCTAACTCTGACTTTCAAATAAATAAATAAATATTAAAAAAAAAAAAAACCAAGCCTGTAAGTTGTGTGGGAGAAAGAAAACTAAGCAAATGAAAGGAGGGAAGTTGCTAACCTCAGAAGATAAAATATAATCATACTATACTGCTTTACAGAGAACAATTCTGGGTTATACAGAAAAGACAATATAAGTGCCTTAAAAGGCTCATCTACTCCAGTAAGACAGAGATGAATGGATCAAGGCCTGCAACATCAGTATTCTTTTAAGCCTTTTATACTTTCATGTACAATTGAATAGCATATAATATTCTGATAAAAAGAATTTTTAATATGTGAAAAAACCAAGTTGCTCTGTTTCATAAAGGCATGTCTCAGCAAATACTTAACTAACTTGACTGATTTAATATTCCCCTGTTCCAAGGAAAGATCTTGTTTACTTAAGGTCATGTTCTAATAACTTAAATAAAATTTTAAAATTTAAAAAGTCGTGTTCTAGAAAATATTTTTTATGAACCAATTGCTTTCCAGTACCTCAAGGTACCTGCTGTTTTAGTAGTTGTTATGTTTTAACATGTTTGTATTGTTGGTATCATATGTGCTCTTCCACAGTGGGACCCTTTGTGATTTTGTTATTGGCCCTCTGCCTAGACTAATTTTGTAATACAAATGGAAGTTTGGAATTAAAATAAAGTGAGAGAGACTGACCCTTTTTATATATATATACATATATATATATATATATATATATATATATATATATATATATAAAAGAATAGAGAGCATCTGATGTTTGAAGTATAAGGACCACACAGAGGTAGGAAATTGTAAGGTAAAATATGAATCACTTTGAAGTGTTGGATATGTAGCAACACTGTGGCGGTACAGACAGGTTGGGACCAGAGTAAAATGAGCCCTGAATGCTTTGAGCTAGTTTCAGAAGTATTCTTCTGGCCGTGGGGAGCCAGGATAAATTTTTAAATAGTAGAGTGACAGTTTTCCATATCAAAATACAAAATTTTTTATCATTTGTCTATATCACAGCTATGTGCAGAACAAATTGTCATAGAAAACACATGGAAAAGAACTATCTCAAAATGTTAGTATTGATTATCTTTGCAGTAGGACTTTGGGTGATGTTTTCCTCTTTTCTCTGAGTCCTACTTTTTCCTCAGTTTCTGTGTCACTTTTATTATTGTGGGTTTAGAACACTTTTTTATAGTGTTACATATTGTTTATTTTAGCTTTTTAAACAAGATTTATGTATTTGAAAGGCAGAGCAACAGAGAGATGGTACACAGAGAGAAATAGTTTTCAAATGGCCACAATGGCAAAGGACTAGGCCAGGCCAAAGCCAGGAGCCAGGAACTCCATCCAGGTGTCCCAAATGGGTGGCAGGGGCCCAATTACCTGTGCCATCTTCTGCTGCTTTCCCAGGAACAGTAGAAGGGAGCTAGATTGGAAGCAGAGCTGCAGGAATCAAACCGGCAATCCACTATGGTAGCTTAACCTGACGAAACACAACACCAGCCCCTCTAAGGACATTTTAAAAATAAATCATGTTGTCACATCAGTGATCCATTGTGAAATCTATAGCTCCTGGTTACCTCATGCTTCCAGGTTTTTATTTATTAAAAAGGTCAATGTTTAGAAACTTCGCCTGTGAGAAAATATGAGTAACAAAGTGGGCAGAAAACTTTCAGAAAGCATCTGATCTTCAACTTGGTCTTGTCTTCCAACTTCGTCTAGGGTTGTTGAAGATTCACTCCAGCCAGTCCAATCCCCAGCAGGCTGTCCTGACGATTCCTAGCCAGCTCAAACCACTCAGTGTAAACACATCTGGAGGCGTGCAGACTATTCTGATGCCTGTGAATAAAGGTAAGTCCTCATCCACGGGCCTGCCATGCTGTGGTCGTCCCTAGGTCCATCTGGGGAGGAAATGCCATATGCTGTCTAGTGCGTGCTCTTACCTGTAAATCCTGCCTTCAGCACTGTGGTGCTTTAAGACATGTTGAACCCTGTGTTACCAGTTCCAGGGCAGAAAGTAAAGGCCAGACAGTCCATTGATTTCTAAATAGCTGCTTATTTCTGAAGTTGAGTCGAGGGGAAACAGTTTAAGCACTGATGAGAGTTTGGGTTCATTGGATTTTATTTTCTTAGTTTGGTGACAATTCCCTGTTTACACAGTTCAGGATACAACTGTTACCCTAGTATTAAGACTAACAGCACAGAGCATCAGATCTGTTTTTTAAAAAGAACCTTTCTGTTCCTGCTCTGCGGTTGTATGGGTACTGTCAGTCTCATCTAGGGCTGTCACTTGGGAGTTAGATTTTCCTCGTTAAAAATAATTTCTTTAATTGTTACATCCCCCTCCTTTTTTTTCCCCTTCAGTGGTTCAGTCATTTTCTACCAACAAGTCACCTACCATTCTGCCTATAGCTGCACCAACTCCAGTCGTCCCCAGCTCTGCTCCAGCAGCTGTGGCAAAAGGTATGTAGGATCGCACAGTACTTTTGTCTAGAAGTTTTGTGCAGGATGCTGTTGTAGTCTGAGTTCTTTGAATTTTCAACATCCATCCATCAATCCCTTGGCAAATATCTTATTTATTTGAAAGAGTTACACAGAGAGAGAAGAGGAGGCAGAGAGAGAGAGGTCTTCCATCTGCTGGTTTACTCCCCAATTGGCCACAATGGCTGGAGCTGCGCCAATCCGAAGCCAGGAGCTTCTTCTGGGTCTCCCACGCGGATACAGGGGCCCAAGGACTTGGGCCATCTTCTGCTTTCCCAGGTCATAGCAGAGAGCTGGATTGGAAGTGGAGCATCTGGGATTGAACCAGCACCCATATGGGATGCCTGCACTGCAGGCAGTGGCTTTACCCGCAGCGCCACAGCACCTGCCCCCAGGAGTGGGAGGTGAAGGGTTTTGTCAGAGAAAGGGAACAGTGGAGACAAACTCAGGGCTTGTTGGGGAAGTAGACCAATTAGAGGGATTGATTTCAGAAGTATAGTTGTGTGGTACGGAGCTCTAGGCAGGGGCCAGATTTCTGTCTGTGGGGGACCTTCCTGACCACATATCAAGATCACGCAGGATGTTAATCCTCTGCCTGCAGTGCCAGCATCCCATATGGTGCCGGTTTGAGTCCCAGCTGCTCCTCTTATGATCCAGCTTTCTGCTGTGACCTGGGAAAGAATGGCCCAGCTCCTTGGGCCCCTGTACCCACGTGGGAGACCCAGAAGAAGCTCTGGCCGTTGTGGCCAGTTGGGGAGTGAACCAGTGCATGGAAGATCTCTGTCTCTCTGCCTCTCCTTCTCTCTCCGTGTAACTCTGACTTTCAAATAAATAAATAATTTTTTTAAAAAAAGAAAGATTCCATCTACTGGTTCACTCCCCAAGTGACCACAATTGCCAGGGCTAAGCCAGGTCAAAGCCAGGAGCAGGCACTTCATCTGGGTCTCATGTGGGTGGCAGGGGCCCAGGCACTTAGGCCATCTTCTGCTGCTTTTCCCAGGCTGTTAGCAGGGAGCTGAATCAGAAGTAGAACAACTGGGACTCGAAGCAGCACCTAATTGGGATGCTGGCTTTTCATGCAGTGGCTTTACCCACTATGCTACAACACCGGCCCCTACCCCAAGATATGTCTGGGTGACCTGGAACCAATCCCTCATAAATACCATGGGCCAATGTATTAAAAACCTGATGTGACCAGCTTGGAAATTTCCAAATACTATGGATCTGATTTTGGTTTTTCCTTGAGTTTCAGAACACTAAGACAGTGCTACAAGTTGATAGATTTAGCTGGAGAGAAGATAAGGAAAAGGTCATAACTAAATTTAGAACAAGCTGGTTGCCGGCGCCGCAGCTCACTAGGCTAATCCTCCACCTAGCGGCGCCGGCACACCGGGTTCTAGTCCCGGTCGGGGTGCCGGATTCTGTCCCGGTTGCCCCTCTTCCAGGCCAGCTCTCTGCTGTGGCCCAGGAAGGCAGTGGAGGATGGCCCAAGTGCTTGGGCCCTGCACCCCATGGGAGACGAGGAGAAGCACCTGGCTCCTGCCATCGGATCAGTGCGGTGCGCCCGCCGCAGCGTGACAGCCGTGACAGCCATTGGAGGGTGAACCAACGGCAAAAAGGAAGACCTTTCTCTCTCTCTCTCTCTCTCTTACTCTGTTACTATCCACTCTGCCTGTCCAAAAAGAAAAGAAAAGAATAATTAAAAGAGAACAAGCTGGCCTAGTATTTTAATATGGCATTGTTCAGGGATTGAAGGGTGCAGTATCCACATAGCATCATGTGTAGCCCTTTAAGAAATATCTAAAACACCATTTTATTGTCCCCTGCCTTGGCTTGTGCGTGGAGTTGCACCCACCCCAGCTAACAGCTCTTCCCTTGTCTGCAGACTGTGAGGGGTGGTGATTGGAGCCATCTCAGCCTCGTGGCTCCGTCCCTGCCGCAGCTGGAGCGGCAGTTTCTCACTGAGTGTCAGTGGAGCTTTGTTGCTGCTGCACGTGTCCTTCCCCCAGAACTCTGACAGCTCTCTCTTTGTTGCTCTTCCCTTGTAGTGAAGACTGAACCCGAAACACCTGGGCCCAGCTGCCTCTCACAGGAGGGTCAGACAGCAGTGAAAACAGAAGAAAGTTCTGAGCTGGGAAACTATGTCATTAAGTAATTACTTCAGTCCTTCCTAAAGGAGTTCTGCTTTGGGTGTTTGTGTGGTGCTTTGTAAAATCCCTGCCTGTAGCCAAGTGTGTGTGGAATTGAGCCCCTGGAGGGGGCACCGTCTGCCCTTCTGCATTGAGCAAGTGCATTGCTGCAAGGCTGAGGAGGAGGCTCCATTGTATAACTAGGTGTCCACGCAGCTACTACTTCAGGCCATGCAGGTTCACTGCCTTAAAAATGCCTCCGGGTATTTTCCAGTTTCAGAAAATCCCCTCTGGCAAGTACTTTGAACTGTCTAAACTGCTAAACACAGTGAATGGAAGCAGCTTCTGTAGCAACGACTGGAGGTATAAAGTACCCCAGCCTTGACACAGGCACTCATGTGCTAGCATTCCCTGCTGTAGCAGCAATTCCAATGCAGAAAGATTGCCTGGCTATTTAGTTGTCACACAGATAACATCAGATGTCTTATATTTGCATGTTTTGCCATTCCTAGGGTCTCATCTATTTAGCCTTGACGTTTTCTTTTTTAAGCATAGAACACTCTTGGTTTATAAAGAGGGCTCTGTGGAAGGAAAGGCATAACCAGTACAATGGTTTTAAATTATAGTTCCCTCAAAAAGGAGAAATACATAAACAGATAAATGTGTGTATATGTGTGTGTGTGTACACTTTAAAAGCTTGTGGAAGATCAAATTAAAATAGTTTATTTTGGTGCAGAAAATTTGAAGTTCATGCATATAGGGTATCTTTAAGAAGTTTATGAAAAATGTGTATTATAAAAAAACTACACATAGCTTTTGAATTTCACGAGGCCAAAATAAACATCTTTTACTTTCACTTTTCATGAACTTTTTGAAGTACCTTTGTATGGCTAGAAACTGCTATGTGTGTTTAATTTATGACCTTAATTTTCTTTCATCCTCAGGATAGACCATTTAGAGACTATCCAGCAACTCTTAACAGCAATAGTAAAGAAGATTCCATTAATCACTGCAAAAAGTAAGACAATTATACTGAATATGTGGATACGTTGTTTTGAAAGCTGGGAACTACTTAGGATAGTGAGTCGACTGAAATCACTTAGTATTGTAAATCAGTACTGATGTAGCTTTTACTTTACGAGGTGTTAGCTAGAGATACAGCTCATTTGTGAGGGTTTTTGAATTTACAGTCTCTTAGTCATCCAGTTAAGCTTTCATTGTTTTTGCTGTGTTTGATCTGTAGGAGTGTTTTACATTTATTTTTGCATGTAAATCATACATTTTGTATATAATTAAAACTGTGTTGGTTTTTAAAAGTTTATTAGTAAGGAAACAGTTAGCATCTCCCTACAGTGTACCAGCCCCAAGGCAGACTTGCCTCTTTCACTGTCTGACTTGATAAACGTCTCGTGTGTGATAAGTTTTGTCATTCTCCATTGTGCAGAGGAGAAAACCAAGGATAAGTAAGGTTAAATAACTTGCTCGGGATCACGCAGCTGTGGGTCCTAAGGCAGGATGCAACCCAGCTCTTCCTGCTTCCCAACTGTTAATCATTCCTCTGAGACTCAGTATCACTCGCTTGGTAGAAATGCATGGTTTTCAGGACCTCCCAAACTGAAGTCTGCCGTGTCAGTATTAGCAAGGTTGAATAATTTGGGCCGGAATCAACAGCCCTTCCAGTGGGTGCTTTGGTGTGTGTTCCTGGGCAAGGTCACCAGGGATGCTTACAGGGAAGGTGGGAAGCAGATAATCCTGTCACGTGCATGCATGGGGACATAAAACTAACAGGCCAAGTACAGACCACCCTGCTAGTTAGTTCCAACTGTAACAGCAGAGGAATGATCCTCGTTCCTTCGCAGTTGAAGTGTAGGAGGTCATCTTGAGGTAACTCGGAGTGAAATTTCAGTGACCGTTTTCTAGCCCGGCAGAACGAGATTCAGAAACACCTCTGTGTCTCTCTCTCTCTCTCTCTCTCGCATTTAGTTACAGAATATGAGAGCTAAGAGACCATTCAGAGACCACCTTTCCCCACTTTCATTGTGCAGCCGAGAAACCTGAAGCCCAGCCAGGAGCTGGGGCTCGCTCCAGGCCACTTAGGACGTTAGTGGCCAGGCCCGGCTCCTGGTGGAGTTGTGTTTCCATTGATTTCCGTGGCTTCGTGCAGTAGATCACCTTCCCTACCAGAGAAGTCAGCTTCCCAAGGGAGGGTGCTGGTTTGAGGCCACACAAGTGAGTTGTCTCTCTCCTAAGCAGAAGCCTCTCTGGGTTCTGCTGCATCTGAACGGCACGGTGGGAAACAAGTCCAGTCGAGGTCCGAGGGAACTGTAGGCCGTGTGTCACAGCAGCTCTCTTCAGGGTGCTGGGTGTGTGCATTCTAGGTGAAGATGCCAGCTGCTTTTCTGCAAAATCCGTGGAGCAGTATTATGGCTGGAACATCGGCAAAAGGAGAGCTGCCGAGGTAAGGCCCCCGCACAGGCCTTGCGGGGAGGAAGCCGGAACACCTGTGCCTCCCGGCCCCTCCTGAACCTGCACTGTGGAACGGTGGGGACACTTGGCAGCACAGGGTGCTAAAATATTGGTGGTAGAATATTTCCCTTAGTTAAAAACCTCACTCTTCAGGGCCAGCGCCGCGGCCCACTAGGCTAATCCTCCACCTGCGGCCCCGGCACCCCGGGTTCTAGTCCCGGTTGGGACACTGGATTCTGTCCCGGTTACTCTTCCAGTCCAGCTCTCTGCTGTGGCCCAGGAAGGCAGTGGAGGATGGCCCAAGTGCTTGGGCCCTGCACCCTCAAGGGAGACCAGGAGGAGGTGCCTGGCTCCTGGCTTCGGATCAGCGCAACACTGACCGTAGGGGCCATTTTGGGGGTGAACCAATGGAAGGAAGACATTTCTCTCTCTCTCACTGTCCACTCTGCCTGTCAAAAAAAAAAAAAAAAAAAAACTCACTCTTCAGATTCCTAGCTTTTGCAAGGCCTGTCTTCTTAATCGTGCATTGATAGAAATATGCCTTGCATTTTCAAAAATTTTTTAAATTATTTTAATTTTTTTTTATTTTTTTGACAGGCAGAGTGGACAGTGAGAGAGAGAGACAGAGAGAAAGGTCTTCCTTTGCCGTTGGTTCACCCTCCAATGGCCGCTGCGGCCGGCGCACCGAGCTGATACGATGGCAGGAACCAGGTGCTTCTCCTGGTCTCCCATGGGGTGCAGGGCCCAAGTACTTGGGCCATCCTCCACTGCACTCCCTGGCCACAGCAGAGAGCTGGCCTGGAAGAGGAACAACCGGGACGGAATCCGGCACCCCGACCGGGACTAGAACCTGGTGTGCCGGCACCGCAAGGTGGAGGATTAGCCTAGTGAGCTGTGGTGCCGGCCCTAAATGATTTTAAAAGAGTTAATTGTTAAAATAAACTTAAGTATCTATGGAGTACTTATGGTGTGGCAGTAAGCATTGCCAGATACAGTGAGGTTATGGGATGGGGAAGTAGCACGCACACAGGCCTGCTTGGGAGCCAGGAAAAGTCAAGTGTGTTTGGTTTGGGGAAGGAGAGGAAGTGAGAAATTAGGTAAAAAGCCTTTTTAAAGACCAAACCTAGTCATCTCCATTTTACTTTATGCGCCAGTAGCAACTCTTTGACTTTGTTGTGGTTGTTTTTTAAAGACTGGGACTATCACAGATTTTTTTTCCTTAGGAAAAATTCTAATAAGTTAGCACAGTGATTTGCAGTTGTGTGATTCGCTTCTGTATGCAACTGTTAAGTTGAAGGACTGATTGTGGTCTAAAAATCCTCTTTTTTAAGTGGCAAAGAGCAATGACAATGCGAAAAGTCTTACAAGAAATACTGGAGAAGAATCCGAGATTTCACCACCTGACTCCTCTTAAAACCAAGCACATTGCTCACTGGTGTCGCTGCCATGGCTACACCCCACCAGACCCCGAGAGCCTGAGGCACGATGGGGACTCCATTGAGGACGTGCTGACCCAGATCGACAGTGAGCCTGGTGAGCTTGGCTAGAGTGCTCTGAGCCGCCCTGACAGCTGGTGGGCATTTGCTGTTGAGCACATTCAGGTGCCCACTGCTCCTTCCTTCTGTGGAGGTGGAGGGACTTGGGGACTTGGAGGGGCTGCCATGGAGAACAGGAGCCCCACCCCCACCCCGGGACTGCACAGTTCCCACAGAAGTGTTTGCACCCACATACTTCAGGTGTTGTAACCCTGGCAGGAATGTTCTGGTTTGTGCATCCAGTAGGCACACACTGTTTGTGAGTCACCGCCTCAGCACTATTTCTTCTTTCAAGGCTCCTAAGCCGCCTCCTTTTCTCCACACAGAAGTGGCTTCCCCTTCTTTTGTGACCTTGGGAATCCCCCTAGGCAGATCTGCCCTGTTTCTGGGAACACAGGGCTGTGTCTTCTGTGATGGCCTCTAGACCGAGCTAGGAGGTACGCCAGCTTGTGTTGGAGGGACATGTGAACAACCAACAGTTTCGCAGGTAAAAGGCTTTGAGTGTCTTAGGATAAACAGACAGCTAGTGCATGGTGGCAGGGGTAAGGGTGTTTTTAGGGAAAGGGAGGATCTGCGTTGCCTTGGAGAATGTGAAAGGTTGTCTTCTCCCTGCCTCTCAGTGTGAGGGAACCTGGAGCACAGAGCTGGGGCCTTGTGAGACGGGCTAAGTCCCGTTCACGAGAGCTTCTAGAGCCCCCCGCAGGGTGACCCCTCCTGTCTCTGATCTGAGGCTGGTCTTCGTGTCATTAGCATGAGGGTCTGCCTGCCTTACAGAGCAGAGGCTTTGCTGGTCCTCCACGTACACCAGGCTCTGTGGATTTGGTAGAGCCCTGTCAGGAAAACAGAGAAGGCCAGGAGCTGAGCACTCTGCCACCATCTTGCTGGGTGCTGTTACGCCCTCCTCATGCCCTGTCGGGGGAGCAGCTGCTCCCGCTCTGCAGTGCGCACTCTGCTGGGCTCTGAGTCCCTTAACTGGGGACTTGGTGCACGGTGCGCCCTGGAGTGTCCACAGTGCTCTCTGAGCAGCAGGAAGATGGGTAATTCTGACTGTGCACTTCTGAAGTTGGCAGACTTGAAAGATGAAGAAAAGTCAGTTAGCACTGGTACTCAGGAGGTGGGATATGGCTGTCTTTTGGTGGTGGAAGCCAGAATCGTGTGCTGTGTGGTCTTAGATAGCAGTCTCCTCACATTTATCACACAGGATGGAAGATGCCTGTCTTGGCCCTTCTGTGCTTCATGAAGTCCTAGTTCTCACCATTGTAGATCCATAGCCTTTTAGAACTGGGTAGAAAGAAGGTGAGTCCCTAGATACTTCAGCAGAGTCCTTGCTCAGACTTCCCGTTGTCACCACGGCTGTCCTGAGACTGATGACCTCTCTTTAGAGTGCCCATCGTCATTCTCCTCTGCTGACAACCTCTGCCGCAAACTGGAGGACCTGCAGCAGTTTCAGAAGAGAGAGCCGGAGAACGAGGAGGAGGTGGACATCCTTACCCTCTCAGAGCCGCTGAAGACGAACATCAAAAAGGAGCACGAGGAGAAACAGGAGGAAATGAAATTCTACCTGCCACCAACGCCGGGGTCTGAGTTCATCGCCGACGTCGCACAGAAGGTAGGGGCAGAGGCCTGTGCTGGCGCTCAGTCGCCCGCCAGCTGTGGGTGCTGGCCTGCTAAACCGGATGTGCTCTAGGGCTCCCAGATGCCGCATCAGGGCCCTGGGGCGTGTGAAAAGGCTGCTTGCCGCACACAGACGTGAAGCAGCACCGGCCAGGCCATAGCCAGTTGCTTACTTTTCATCTCCTTTGCTGTTTTCTGCGTGGGGCAAAGCCCTTTTCCCTTGTGAGGCACGTCGCAGTCTTTTCCTGACGTTGCCCTAGCTCCCCTGTGCCCTGCCCATAGCGTCCACGTGGCATACACCAACCCTGCTACTCAGGAGGGAATGATTCATCCACTCCTGAGAAAACCCAGCGGCACCTGTGCCACTGCACCCAAGTGCCTGAAGTGAAAGAGAGTTTGCTGTCACTCGCAGGCTGAGGTGAAAAGTGCAGCAAGTGCTGCCTGATCCAGTCTTCCCTAGTGGTGACCCTGCTGTCAGAATTCACGGCAGATCCCAGCCAGTTCCCCTCACGAAGGAGATCTGGGAGTAAACAGAGTTGAGTAGCATTTTGAATAGCCAGAAGCAAGGGAAGACAAGCAGACATCTCTGTTTGGTGGAGCTTCCCTGAGCGTTTCATCTGCAGTGTTTGTGGGGCCCCTCCACTGACCAGCATGTCTGTGGGTGTGGAGAAGTCGGCCTGTTTGGTGAGAGGCTGTTCGCAGTAGACACGGGGCCTAGCAGCGCTGTTCTGCTTCTCCAGATTGGGATCGTCCTGCAGCCTGTGGAGCTCCACAAGAACGTGTACGCCTCGGTGCTGGAGGACATGCTCTTGAAGGTGGGTGCCCCCTGCTGCCGTGGCCGTCAGAACTAGGGCCGGCGTGGTGGGAGTCCAGGGTGTTATGAGTAAGGTACAAGTACCGAGAGAGGAACAGAGGTGACTTGCTTTTAAATTTCTCATCTTACTCAAGCTTTAAATTTCCTTTTTTCCCTTCTGATTTCTTATTTGAGAAAGAGAATGAGCCCCTTCTGTGCCTACAGCAGCCGAATCTACACTGGGACCAGAGCCAGGGGCCAGAAACTCCATGCAGGTGCCCCATGTGTATGGCAGGAACCCGTTTACTTGAGCCATCACCTTCCACTAGGGTGCACGTTAGGAGAGAGCTGGAGCCAGGAGTCAAACCTGGGCACTCTAATGTTGGAGGCAGGCATTTAACTACTATGCTACATGTTCACTCCCGCTACTGTTCTTTTTTTTTTTTTTTAAAGATTTATTTCAAAGTCAGAATTATAGAGAGAGAAGAAACAGAGAGATCTTCCATCCTCTGGTTCACTCTCCAAATGGCCAGGGCTGGGTCAGACTGAAGCCAGGAGCCAGGATCCTGGAGCTTCTTCTGGGTCTCCCACGTGGGTGCAGGGGCCCAAGCCACTGGGCTATCTTCTGCTACTTCCCAGGTGCATTAGTAGGGAGCTGTATCAGAAGGGGAGCAGCCAGGACTTAAACAAGCACCCACGTGGGATGCCGGTGGCTTAACCCAGTGTACCACAGTGTCCCTCCCCCTCCAACACACACGCACGATTTTTAAACATACTACCTATTTCTTCTGAGTATGGAGTCATCTATGAGAGTTTTTTGTTCATGTCACTCAAGATTTTTTTTGGTCCCATTTCAGGTGCTCTGTAAGAATTGTTCTGTAGTGAATGTCAGTGCTCTCACTGTGTTAGGAAATTACACACAGCCACAGCTGTGCCATGCCTTGGCAAGGGGCAGAAAAAGGCACCCATTCCTTACCCAGCCTGGTTTTTTTCCCTGGTAGATCTCTTCCCCCCATGTCAGGGATGCCTCTGTAACAACTCTCGCCTGTTTTCCTTAAGAACGTGTCTGGTTAATGAAAACCACCTCAAGTCCTCATTTCTCAGAATCAGTAGCCTCCATTTTTTTGTAGTCTGTTATTCCAGATCTTCCATTTTTGATGTTTAGATGCAGCTTTGAAAACACAGAGTGCGGGATGGGCTCACATGCACCCTCCCAGCTAGCGGTGAGTCGGCTGTGCCGAGAATAACAGCCTCTTTCCTCGCAGGCTACAGAGCAGCTGGTGAACGACATCCTGAGGCAGGCTCTGGCGGTTGGATACCAGACAGCATCTCACAACAGGTACTGTGACCTCGGTAGGCGGTGATGCGAGGTACAGATGTGAGGTTACGGATTATTTTCTCAGTTTAATCGCCCATGAAGATGTATTTAAATCAATCCAGCAGGAGGTAGATTAGTGCTCAGAGTCAGATGATACAAGGATTTGCTGTACTTTTGAGAACTGCTTGGTTGTGAGAGCTCAGCTTTGCCCAGAGGTCTGGACCCTCTGGTCATTACTTGACACACGGGGCTGGCTTTTTTTTTTTTTTTTTTTTTTTTAGATTTTAAAAGCAGAGCAACAGAAAAACACCCAGAGCTCTTCTCTCTGCTTGTTCCCTTTCCAGGTGGCCCTAGTAGCCAGAACGGGCCAGGCCAAAGCCAGAAGTCATCTGAGTCACCCACGTGGGTGACAGGGCCCCAGGCCCTTGGGCCATCTTCCATTGCCTTCCCAGGCACTACGTAGTAGGGAGCTGGATTGGAAGTGGAGCAGCTGGGACTTGAACCAGCACTCTGATAGGGGATGTTGGCATCCCAAGCCATGGGTTCACCTGCTGCTCCTCAATGCCGATCTCTAGGACTCTTGTTGCAGGGTTGAATAGATACGAGCTCTTAGCTGCAAAAGATGGTATTGGTGACAAGAGCCAAGCATTACAGATATTGCCTAATTTTTTCATGGCTTAACTATTACTCCCTGTTTAGAAATCAGGAAAGTAGTCTTTGAAAAGTAACCTTCCCTGGCTTTCCAGCAAATATGACAGAACCAAGATTCAGACTCAGGGCTCGTTAGCTCCGCAGCCTCCTGGTTCACCACTGCTCTGCTGACTCCTCCTTTTTGGCTAGAACACTGAATTTTTACTCTTTTCCCAGGCTCCAAAAGAAGGCTAGGTAGGCCACACCTTGCTTCTCTTTCAAAGAAAATATTTTATTCCATTATGCTAGTGCTGTCACAAGTTTATAAAATTGTAACAAAGTACATGAGGACATGAACAGGCCTAAATCGGAACTCCCCAGGATGTAACACACATAGAAGTCTTTAGAAAAAGGAAGAGACACGAAGGGGTCCGGTTGCGCTGCTTGTTGTCCTGCTTGAAGTCCGAGACGGGGTGTGTGCTTCTTGGGGCCAGCTCGCCTCTGTGGGCCCCACAGTGGAGGTGGAGACAGACCTGGGGCTGGGGCCCCTAGATGACAGCAGTCACCATTCACCTGGCCTGACTCCATCTTCCCCATCTCTGCAGGACACAGGAAGTAGCAGGGGCCCAGAATTCCATGGTGCTCTGACTCAGCAAGAATTAGAAGCCAACCATATCCTGGTCTACTATCCACTTCTCTCTCTCCTGATCCTTTTCCTGTCTGACTGGGAAGTTACATTTGACTGACAGGGCAGGCTAAATCTCACCAGCTTTGAAAGGAACTAATGAAGGGAGAGAGAGACAGGGCCAGAGGCACGGCGAGTATGCCCCTGCCCTCCCTGACACACATGGCCCCGTGGCCCCTCCCACGAGGTCTGTGCCAAGATGGCCCGCTTGGTAAACTGAATGAAAAGAGACTTGGGAGAGTCACACCCAGTAACACTCTGTTTTTTTGAACCAGGATTCCCAAAGAAATCACCGTGAGTAATATTCACCAGGCCATTTGCAACATCCCTTTCCTGGACTTCCTCACGAACAAACACATGGGCATCCTGCACGAGGACCAGTGAATGGATGAAGCTCCAGAGCCTGTGGGCTGCGAAGACTTCTGAGTGGGGGAGGAGGCTGCTTTCCTTTGCCTAGAACATCATGGCCACCAAACCACGGCCTCTCCCCGATTCACGTAACACCAGTGCCGGTGCCAGGTGCAATCCTTTCAGGACAGGGGTTTGTTCCAGACTCTGGAGTGGAGCTGTGAATGGACACATGCTCTGTGGCTTGCATTTCTCCACTCCGCAAAGGTTCCAGGAGGGTGTCGCAGAGGTGGGCCAGGCTGTATCAGGCCCTCTCTGCTCTGGGTGGACTCAAGGGGGCACCTTGGTCCTGGCTCCCGGGGACGTGAGTCTGGCAGGCTGGAACTGGACCCTTTCTGTGGGCTGGGTTACGGGCACCCCCGGCAGTTTCCCTGAAGAGGGAGGGACTTCAGCACTCAGCCAGGGGGTCGCCACTCCTGCCTGGCCTCGGCCTGGAGCCGCTGCACTTTTAGCCTAGGTGAGTCAGCTGTGGTAAGAGGTGCCGTATGCCGAGAGAGCCAGAGGGGCCCAGGAGGCCGCAGCCTGAGCTGGATTCTTTTTTCTGGGCGCACAGGAGCATTAGTGGCAGCGAGCATCAGAGCACTGTCACAGGGACCGATCCCAGCGCCGGCCCGGGAAGGACAAGGTCTGACTGGGACCCACGCAGCCCTTCCTGCGTAACGGACAGCGTCTGTAGGGCCTGGGGACTTGGCCGAATTGCGTGCCCAGCAGAGAGCCGACCGCCGCCATTTGTGTGGTCTGCTGGAGTTTCTGGTGCCAGGTGGAGTGGCCGTGGGGAGCCGCCCTGGACAGGCTCTGCTGGGACCGTTGGTTCTCTGTGGATTTAGCAGCTTGTTCTGTCTGAAGGAGTCCTTCCTGAGAAGAGAAGTGTGACAGAAACACCTGTGAGTGCCTTAACATTAGCTGGAGAAAGACTCGCCCAGGCCCGGAGATAGGGCTGCAGCGCTCGGAAGGCACGCGCCCAGCCGGGAGGTAGGGAGGAGGAGGGTCGGTGGTGCCCTGGACGATGTCCCGTTCCTTCGGAGATGCTGCGTGTGTGGACGGTGAAGGACAGACTTACTCCCAGTTAGAAATCTGCGTGCACTCTGCCCAGGGAAAACGTGAGGCCTGTGGGTGAGAGGAGCAGCCACGTGACGGAATCCGAGCTGCAATTCTGCTTTGGGCGCTGCAGATGCGAGTTCTCGCGGGGGCACAGGACGGCCCGGCTTAGTAAGTAGTGCGGCAGTCGGGCTGCTGTCCTCTCAAGGTTGCTGGGCGGGCATGTGGAGTCACCTGGCGAGTGCTGGAGAGCCCAGGTGGCCGGTGTGGTTGGTGAGAGAACAGATTAGTTTATGACAGGCATGGAAGCCTAAAGAAGTTACCTTTTTGGGAAAAAATATTAAGTGATTTTAACAGTCTGTGTGTTAATGTTTCAGATGTATTTGTATCAACTATAACAATTGTGTAACAAATGTCTACAATAAATCTTTTAGTATTTGTGCTGGCTTTTTGTGCCTTGGAAGCACTGTAAGCACCATACCTCGCTCTTCTGCATAAGGAGGTCAGAGAATATGGGGGCGGGGTGCAGGTAGAGGCTCCTACTTGATCCCTTAAATTCTTTCTGGAATGGATTTGCAGCCATGCAGGATAAAGGATTACAGTTACATAAATATCTTAAAAAAAAAACTGGAAGGTACATGTTTACTCAGGACATAATTATCCCTGACAGCTTGGGCAAGGCAGACTGCATAATCCCACCCAGCTACCTCAGAGCCAAGGCAGAGGGAAACAGCCCCTGCGTTAGAGAACCACGCCAGCAGGTCTGGCTGTGCCGAGGCCCGGAGGAAGGTGCTCCCAGGACACGGTCCTTATGCTGGGGCCATCTGCTAGCCCGTGGCTGGAGTCAGAAAAGCAGCAGAGACGAGCTGCCAAGAGGCTCTGCAAGTCTTGGCTCTTAGAAGGCGAGAATTCCTGAGAGGAGGCAATGCACACAGTGCACGGAGGGTGAGTCAGGGAGAGCTGAGCAGTCCCGGGGACGAGAAGAGGGCCGGGCCCAGGCTTCCCTCGCTGAGTGATAGCTGACTGGGGAGGGCTTGCCGGGCACTGCAGAGCCAAGGCCAAAGTCACGGGCAGCTGCGGTGGGGACTTGCATGGAAGGACTCACATGAGTGGTACCAGCAGGCAGCTCTGGGATCTTCTTGACCTTGGTGAGCGGGTTTGAAGTCCTGAAGTTGTTTGCTGTGGAGCAGAGAGGCGGGACGTTGGTCTCTGACCGTGAGCCCCCGTTGACTCGTGGAAAGGCCCTGGGGGGTGCATCCCATGGCTGGTTGAGGCCACTACTGCAGTGGTGACTTTGGTTATAAGTGGTGAGCATTTCCTTTAGGCTGAAGTTAGCTAACAGACTGAACTTTTTAAAGACTTTTCCCTTACAGAATACAAAAACGCTTATTACTTCCTAGAACTTTAAGTATAATAAACTTTAAGTATAATAAAATATAAGTTACCCTAGGCCCCTTCTCAGTGGTCACTACTTCCAAGGCATTGCTGGGGGTGGGTAGCAGCACGTACCTGACACTTGTCTTGCTTCTCGTGTCCCTCACTGTGCTGTTCCGCCTTGCTCAGACGTGGAGTTAGTGGGAGGGGTCTCTTCATAAGCCAGATCTAACGAATGACACCTGCTAGGGGACGCTATGAGGAGCTGTGGGGCCTTGTGGAAAGGTGGCTGAGCAGGGGTCAGGCTCATCTGATGGTGCAGGGGCTTCCATGGCTGCTGTAGCACCGGGCAATGAGACGGCAGAGCCACCTCTGTCCCTGGGGCCCAGGCATGCGTGAGCTCCCCAGGGACGCAGGTTCTGGGGGAGAAGGGGCGCTGCCTGCTGCCGTGTGAGCGCGGCGGGCCTGGTGAGGGGCAGCAGGCTGCAGGCCGTGGGTGGCTGCAGATGGGAACAGAGCGAGCCGTGCAGGGAGGGGCGAGGCAGGCGGGCCCCACACCGGCCTGAGCATGCGCCTGTCGACACGAACACTCCTGCCAGCCAGCCTGCCTCCCCGTAGCGGGGAGGGAGCCCCAGACCAGCTTCCCAAACAGCTCCTGGCTGAGGGCACAAGAGTAACACAGAACAGCGACTGGTGGGTTCTGGGAAGCACTAGTGTGGGGGAGGCCGTGGCCGCGCTCCAGCCAAGTCCAGGTGGCCAGGAGACAGGAGGAAAGCAAAAGCACAGGACGCTCCTGTTTGTTGCTCACCAGCTAAATCAAGAAACTGAAACGGTACATTTTTACATTTCCCACAGACACACACCAGTGGGGTCTGAGATAGCAGAGCCCTTTAAAGAGGGAGCCTCTGGGTCTGCGCTCAGCAGAGCTAGCACCTGAGGGGAGGCTGCCCGCCAGCCCCCGCTGCCTCCTGCCAGGGTTCCGGAGCCTCGGTGCCGCCACCTGCTGGCCAGAGCAGGGGCGCTCCAAGGGCAACCCTTCAGTTTCCCTTACCAAAAACCGTCCCAGGCTGGTTCCAGGCTGGCACTTCCACAGCCTGGGCACGGCTTACCAGACAAGATGAGCTGCTCCCGGCTGGCAGGCATGAGAGCAGGGCAGGCGCGAGGGTGAGAGTCCTTCAGGGAAGAAGTTGGATGCTTCCTCCTTCCCCGAAAGTTTCCAGTTCCCAGCCAGAGTGCTGCAGGTGCAGTCATCCGGTACGGGGGAGTCCCAGGACGCGGGGTTCAGCCTCAAACCTGAGGCACTCAGCGCTGGAGACGACGAAACCTGAGGATCATCTTAGCCGTGAGGAGATGTCTGCAGTCCGAGCCCTGGCGGACACCTGTTTCCTCCGAAAACCTGTTACCCAGCAGCACCAGGGGCCACCTGCAGGTGCTAAGACTTCTTTCAGCCTACACGTGGGGTCATGTGTAGTCAGATGCGAGGTGAGCAGCTCGGGTTCCCATAGGTTCTAGAATTAAAGCCATCATGCATCCTGGGAGAGTCACCGAGGATGGGCCCTGGTGGGCTTCTCGGGGGCCTGGCACGTCTGTGGTCCTCAGCCCCCCGGGCCAGTGCAGTTCCCGGCGAGGCAGACCCTCGGACTGCTCACACTGAAGCCTTGTGGGACGGACACGCAGCAGTTAGACACCCCTGCGAAGCCTTCCTCGGGCTTCTGGGAGGAGGAGAGGGAGCGGCCGTGGGTCCTGACCCCTCTCCTGGGCACCGCACTCACACATTGAGAATCCGGGGTGCTGACGCCTGGAAGATGGCTGAGGGGTTGGGGGTGAACTTTTTCCTCACCTCCGGGACCTGAAAGATGAAGTGGCCGCGTGTGAGTGCGCCCGCTCCTCCACTCCACTCTGGCCTTCAGGGGGTGGGGGAGGGGAGCCAGGAAGTGTGACTTACGGCCTAGAGCGAGCAGTGGCACCGCATCAGGTCACACACACGCCCACCCTGCTCCCTGGCCCGGGAAGCTGCACCGTCCCCACCGCCCTTCCATTTTCTCTTCCCTCCTGCACGGTGCCCAAGTGCTTGCAAGGGCCGTTCACTCGGCGCTCAGTGGTCAAGCTTGGTGACCCTGCCCACCAGAAACGCCGGGCGCTCACCCGGCTAATGGGCGGCTCGTTTTCTGTGTGTGAGGTAGGAGTGCCTGGCCATGACGCCAGCTGACCCCATCACGTCGGCGCCGCGCCCTGACATTCAGGCTCACCTGGAAGCTGGCCCCGGGGCCGCCGTCCCACTCTGACGTGTGGGTTGTGATGACTCTGGCTGGCTTTGCCTTGGTGGATCTCGAGGGCTTCACTCCAGTCCAAGCCTGGAATTCCTGTCTGCAACAGAGGAGTCCCAGCTCTGCCCAGGGCGGCTGCCCCTTCCCGATCCCTTGGGGCCACTGCCCCACGCCTTGGGCTTGTTCTGGAATGCCACGGCCCTGTCCACTGCTGTGCCCTGCTTCAGCTTCACAAAGCAGGACTGACGGAGCCAGCACACTGCACAGACAGCCCGGCTCACGGAGAGTGCAGGCCTGCGGCCGCGCAGCCCACCCGGCCCTGCACCTCTGAGTGCTGCCCCGGCAGTGCGGGCTGCTGCAGCCCCTGAGGACGCAGGAGAGGCTGCAGGTGAGCAAACGCCCAGGGCAGAGCTCGGTCAGCACCTGGGGCGCCTTTCACCCAAAACCCCCAGCCCCTGGCAGGTGCCACGCCTTGGAGGCAGAGAAGCCCCAGGGCAGTTTTACCAGCCTCCCCCCCCAAACGTTCCAGCAGCTGCCAGCCCCCCAAGGCCCAGAACCAGTGAAGGACAAATTCCTACAGGCCGGTCACTGGGGGCCACTTAGGAGAGGTGGCGGCCTGGACGGTGCCCGGCTCAGGGAAGATTCTCCATACCTGGCTCTGAGCGGAAGAATTAAGGTTCAATATCCCCTGCAGGTTTTTTTTTCTTTTTTTCTCGTAGTGATGACCCCAAAAAACACCAAGCTGGTCTGGCTCTGTGCATGCCTGCACCTCGGGGGGAGGCCCCACCAGCTCCGCGTGGCAAGAGCAATTTCTCTGGCTGAAAAGACAGCTTCTATTGCTCTGAACAGAGACCTCTAATCCCACCAGCTCCCCGGCCAGCCAGCGCTGTGTCCACGGGAGCAGCTGGCCGAGGCCCGTTGGGAAAGTGTTCCCAGGTGTGCTGGGTTCCCCTGCCCACCGGCAGCCTGGGCAGGACACCGTGTGCGCTGGCTGAGAGTCAGGCCAGGAGGTCAACAAAGCTGCCCACCTTTCCGCCTCTGCAGCAGCCCAGCCGGGGGCGGGGCTCGGGGAAGGGCAGCCGGCAGGAGGGCTGGGCCAGGCTCGAGCAGGTGACTTCTGTTAAAGCCAGCTGCCAGCACCATCTGCCGCTCTGCTTCTCCCAGGGAAGCAGGTCCTCCCCTGGGCATGCCCTTCTGTGGCCACCCCGCCTCTCGTGCCCCGGTAAGTGGCTGCAGGGGCCCAGAGCAGGAAGTGGTGGGGGCTGGGGCTGGCGCTGGAGCCAGGGCAGGCCGGCAGCAATGTGGATAGGGTCAGGGCATCCAACATGGAGTCAGTAGGACCTGGTGGCTGCCAGGAGAGGAGGAAGGCAGGCGGGCGGCTCAGGCCAACGAGATGAATGAGAGAGCCGGGCCCAGGTGCACCTTCCCCGTGGTCTCCGATGCATGGGCCAGCGTCGTCCACCTCCCACTGAGGAGCAGGGGGCTACGCAGGGCAGCGCAGCAAAGCCCTGGACTGAGGCTCGGGGGCCTGGGTTCTCGGCACCTTCAGTCCAATTCGCTGCCGACTCTGACACAGGTGCTGCCGCTCCTCCACGTGCACAAGGGTGGGGCCATCTTGGGGAGCTTGTTACAGTCAGCCCTTTTTAGCTGAAGCCCCAGCCAGGAGGAAGGAGGGAGACAGCTAGGGAGCCAGGGCCTTGTCTTCTGAGTGGGAAGCGCTGGCACCCAAGCCTGAAAGAATTCGGGCTGGGGGTGGGGGCGCCAGGAGCCTGGCAGGCAGAAGGCCGGGGCTGGCTGTGGGCCGGACCCGCTGTGCCCACCCAGCCAGGCAGGCAAGGCGAGTCTGTTCTCGCTTGGAGGCCAGAAGCCGGGGAAGGCAGGGCTGCTGCAGTAGCGCAGTGGAGGGAGGCCTAGGGCTCTGTGAGCTCTCAGTCTAGGGCCCAGGAGCGGGGGCCACCCATCTACTCGAATATCTTTGCAGTCCTTGGAGCTACTCATCTTTATGCTTTCTGAGTCTCCTTAAGCACTTTGCTGAGTGGTGTGCATTTTGCAAGGTGCAGAGCAGAATGCAATTGCTCGGGCCGGGTCCCAGCCACGTTGAGCGCAGCCCTGCGGTGCTGCGGGGTTGGGAGTGAGGGGGGCAGGGCTTTGGCGGCCAAGCTCTTGGCGTTGCTGCCGTATTCCTGCTTTCCAGATGGGAAGAAGGTCACAGAGGCCGCGTGGCCCGCGCAGATCTACCCCCGAGCAAGTGTGAGCTCCCGTGGGTCCCAGTTCTGCCCATCAGCACTTTTCCCTGCTGGTGTCGGCACACAGTTCAAGCAGCTGAGAGGTTCCGAGGAGGCTGCCCCTTAGGGGCTAACCCATAGGGGCTACAAACTTGGCCGCAGAGGGAAGACAGACTGGAGTTCCTCTCCCTTCTCTGCCAGCCCGAGCTGGGAGCCCTTGCGCCAGCAGCTCCATGTCCTCGTCTGTAGCGATCACGGAGCCTGGGATCTGATCCAGGGGAGTGCTGAGCCCGGCGTGTGCTGCCGCACAGAAGGCAGAAGGCACCTTGCTGGCCCCCGGAGCGGGGCAGAAGGTCCTCACAGGGCTCCAGCTTGGGGAAGGGACACAGAACGCCCAGCCTGTGCTAGGACATCCCCAGCAGGGAGCTCAGCGTGCCCCGGGAGGCTTCCGTGACCAGCCTGGGCTACCCTGCCTGAGCTGATGCAGCCTCCTGCAGATGCCACCCCAGACGGCTCACCTCTCGGGCCCTCTGCCTGCTCAGCTTATTGGCAAAGTGACCCCAGCTAGGGCCTGGGCGCCGGGCTCAGGGGCTGCCCTGCCCCTGCCATTCCCAAATGAGTTTTCGCAGCTCAGCTTGAGTGCATGTCGGCAAGTGGAAAATCCATCCTGCAACCACTGTCCCCTCTAGGCTCTTTTAGAAGTGCCTGGCTATGAAGGAAGCTGGGACATGGAATGTTCTAGTGTCTTGGATGCAGTGGATGTATTTGTCAAAAATCTCCCAGCTGCACACTTGGAATGGATGCATTTTGGAATGAAGCCTTGATTAGGGAGGAAAGTTCATACTTTTTGGCCCCTCAATTCCACAGATAGGAATTTATCCTGAAGAAATTACGATAGGAGTGAAGACTTGGCTGCAAGGATGCTCATCACACAAGTTAACTACATCTTTAAAACTGCTTTTAGGCCAGCGCCGCGGCTCACTAGGCTAATCCTCCGCCTTGTGGCACCGGCACACCGGGTTCTAGTCCCGGTAGGGGCGCCGGATTCTGTCCCGGTTGCCCCTCTTCCAGGCCAGCTCTCTGCTGTGGCCAGGGAGTGCAGTGGAGGATGGCCCAGGTGCTTGGGCCCTGCACCCCATGGGAGACCAGGAAAAGTACCTGGCTCCTGCCATCAGATCAGCGCGGTGCGCCAGCCGCAGTGCACCGGCTGTGGCGGCCATTGGAGGGTAAACCAACGGCAAAAGGAAGACCTTTCTGTCTATCTCTCTCTCTCACTGTCCACTCTGCCTGTCAAAAAAAAAAAAAAAAAAAAACTGCTTTTAAAAACGGGTCATACATGTTCATGTTCAAAAACACAAAGGCAACGAGCTAGCGCTGTGGTGCAGAAGTTAAAATTGCCATCTGTGACACCCCCATCCCATATGGGCGCGGGTTCAAGTCCCAGCTGCTCCACTTCTAATCCAGCTCCCTGCTATAGCTGGGGAAAGCAGTAGAAGGTGGCCCAAGTCCTTTTGCCCCTGCCACCCACAAAGGAAACTAGATGGAGCTCCAGGTTCCTGGCTTCAGCCTGCCCCAGCCCTAACCATTGCAGCCATTTAGGGAGTGAACCAGCAGATGGAAGATCTCTCTTTCAAGTAAGTCAGTTTAAAAAGGAAGAGTAAAGTGCTAAAGCTCTGTTGAGCCCCGGCGGCATCCAACCCTCCCCAAGCTCTTGTCCCCAAAGGCCTGCTTGCCTCAGCCGTCCATCAGGGGGCCCTGAGCTACTGGCACATGTGTGTGACTCCCCGGTGACACACGCGCGCTGCTGCATGTGTGTGCCTTTAAGACCCTCCCCATCAGCCCAGGAAGCGCCTCACCCCATGGCATCCTGTGGCAGCGCTGGCATTCACCAGCCCCCTACCAGGCACCTCTTGCCCTGAGCCCCCGTCTTCCAGGAGAGCTATAGGGAAGTTCCTGCATTTGGGGAGCAGCGGCCTTGGAAGCACCCCGAACGTCTAGTGATATGGCTGTAGGTAAGTATTTGGAGATACAGATGTATAGCCACGGGATAAGAGATTCAAAAATCCTGCACACTTATTAGAACATGTACTAACACGGACATGTCCACAGTGGGTGCAAACACTCATGTGTACGGTGAGAACCCAGCCGTGCACTTGCACCCCAACGCCGGCAGGGCATTCCGAAGAACTAGTCTGGGGAGCGCTTGGGGACACTTCTTTTCTCTATGGTGCTTTCCGTTTGTTCCACACGGAACGTGAATGCCTTCTGAAAGAACGGAAAGCTCAGGTGTCCGGGAGTGGCCCGCAGCCCCGTGCTCTGCGCGCAGCCCCCGGGCACCCAGCCGGTGGGACCCAGCGCTAGTCCTCGCCACCAGCGCCCCGCGGCGGCTCTGCCCAGAGGGAGCCCGGGGTTGGCCCCGCGCCCCGCTCCGGCCGCGAAAGGGAAGCGGTTCCCAACTAGCTGCAAGGCAGGCCCGTGTGACCGCGCTGCCCGAGACGAGACCCGAGGGGGCTGTGGGCGAGCAAGCGAGCCCCCCGTCGGCGGAGGTGCTCGCTCACCTGGAGGTGGGCTGGAAGCGACTAGGGCGACGCCGGCTGTCGGGGCGGCGCGGGACCCGTCTCCTCCCACCGCCCCCACGCTAGCGGCTCCAGCCCTCAGCTTCTTCCCACCTCGGGGTCCGCACGCGGCGCGGCCTCCCCGCGCCCCCGGCCCCGGCCCGATACCTGTAGGACGTGGTGGCCGCGGCAGCCGCGTCCCCATCGCCGATGGGCAGCACGTAGACTCCCCGGGCGCCGGGCGCGGAGGACTTGCCCCTGCGGCCGCCCGGCCCGGCCCCGCGCCCCTGCGCCGCATCTTTGGACCCCGCGGGCGCCGTCCACACGCCGAAGTCCCGCTGGTACTGAGTGAGCGGCACGTCCCGGCCGGGGTCCCGGGCGCCTGCGGGAGTCGGGCCCCTGCCCGCGGCAGCGGCGGCGACCGGGCTCGGCTCTTCGCTCTCGAGGTCCGAGTAGCCGTGCAGAGTGAGAGGCACCGCCACGTCGGAGCGGTCCAGCTGGTTCCAGCGGCGCGCCAGGCAGCACAGGCGGCTGATGCAGGGCCACGCCATGCCGGCCCTGGTGTTAGCCGCAACCCGACGCACCCCGCGGTGCCCGGCCGCGCCTTCCCATATCCGGAAATAAATCGGTAGATTTTGCTTATTATCGATCCCTTACAGCGCCCGCCCCCCCGGCAGGGTCGGGACATTTAGGTGATTCTTTGAGCCCGCGGGGGCGAGGTGGCGCGGCCGCCCGGGGTGTCCAGGTGCAAGAAGGTTGCATTCCTGGGCCCACGGTTCCCGCAGCGTGGTTCTAGAACTCAGACCGGGCCTCGCGGGGCCCACGGGTCGGCCCTCAGCCGGCAGGCGGGTCTGGTGTGCACGCGTCCGCGCGGCGCTGTCCCCGGGCTCTCCGCGGGCACCAGGGAGCTGTCACACAGGAGGCTCGCGCCAGGCTCCCACACAGCACGTGTTTGCGTCGGCCTGTGAGCAGCCGCTTGCCTTTGTGACGCTGGATTTGTGAAAAGCGATCCAATTTTCAGGAAGGATTGGCAGTGACTCCAGCGGGCCTTTCCCTGAGTTCCGAAGTCCTTCGGGTGAGGCAGGGCCACCAGGGCTGTCGCTTTATAAAGCTGCCACAAAATCCGGCCTCTGGGTTCTGGAGTGCCGCCGCCCGGCAGGTGTTCCTGCCCTAACACAGCTTGGGAAGGCTTCCCGGGAATCTGACAGCTGCCCTCCGTGTGCACTGCGGATCAATGACTAAAAGCACTACGGAAGCTGCACGGGTTCCCCCGGGCACCACGGCAAGGCTGTACTTGGCAGGCAACCAGCCTGCACTTCAGAGGACTGCAGCACAGCCAGAATGCAGATTCATCTCCCAAAACGCAGCCTGCCTCGTTTTGCATCCTAGCAGGCCACGGCCCCAGAGCCACGTGCACCGGGTGAGGACACTGGAGGACACACGCCAGCCCTCGGGGCTCCGGGCAAACTGTCTGTGCACTCTGTGTGCCAGGCCCTGGGCTAGCCACCCTGGCGCCTATCACAGCAGGGTGCTCGGTGATGCTGGGTGCCTTCCGAGGTGCAGAGGCTGGGCCAGACATGAAAGGGAGAGCAGCGGAAGAGGGGCAAAGAGGCCAAGGGGGATGGGGTGGGGCTCCTGCCGCGGAGGGCCTTGGCCATACCAGGGAGTTGACAAATTCTCCACGGTGCCTCATGGAGCAGGATGTGGACACCTCAAGGACCAGGTGGAAGAAGTCTCAACAGTCTAGGAGCAGTGTGACGAGGGGATGCACTGAGGCACAGACACGGGCAGTGGAGAGGTGGGAGAGGCACCTAGAACGGCTCTCCCAGGTTTCTGACTTCAACAATTGGTGCCGTCCCTCAAGCCAGGGGGCAGCCAGCGCCAGGAGGCATCAAAATACTTATTCGGAGTTCAGAGATGTCCAGTGGGGGCCGCCTACACCTGGTGACTGCAGCCTCAGAAGTGTGCAGCGAGGAGGGTGACAGCCAGCGGTGCAATCCTGGGGACCCCTCAAGGAAAAGGCTGGGGAGGAGGTGGCACAGCCCAGGTGGCTCCCAGGCCAGGAGCACATGGCCCTGCAAGCAGTGATCAGCAGTCAGTGCAAAGGCCACAGTGGGAAAATAGAACAGCCCGCTGGGCAGTGGGGAGTGAGGCCCCTTGCCCACGCCGTGGATCGCAAGGCTCAGCTTGACCTCCCCAAGGCCACTCACAGAGGATGGCTCTGGGCTGGCCAAAGGCTTCCACACGGCAGGAGTTTATGGCTGGAGGAGATCCTGCCTCCCTACCTACTGCAAAGCGGGGGCAGAAGAGCCATGCAGACCTGCCCACAGCAAGATGTCTGTGAACAGCCGGCCTCCCAGCCGTCTCTGAAAACACATCTCGCCGCATGCCACACGGCTGTTAGCATATGCATTCAAGTGTCACTGTCCGGGCAGTGCCACCGCCTTCCCCGTGTTCTCTGCCAAACGACGCTGGATTAAGAGCATTCTCTCTCCTGCAAGAGAAACTGCTTCAGAGCAGAACCCTCTCCTTGTGAGAGTGACTCGTCCTTCACAGCAGACAAGACATGCGAGCAAGGGGCTGCCGCGTTCCGGACAACTCTAAGGTGCTGGCCACGTGTGGCCGCTCAGTCCTCGAGCCCCTGGCGAGGTGGGCGTGGCTCCCACTCCTTTTCAGGAAGCCTCTGCTCAGACTGCCCAGCAGGGCACGGCCTGGGGCAAACGGGCCAGGAAGGGCTGGCACGGGGCCCTCACTCCTGCCCAGCACAAAGGCCCAAGGTTTGGGATAACATTTTGAGGCTATCAAAAGGCTGAAAACTCTCCTGCAAATTCTTTCAGGACAACGACATTCTCAGGCTGCATTTCCTAGAAGCACCTCTCCATCACGGGCAGACTGATGGCGACCACTGTTTGCTCTTTCAGTCCGCTCTTCAACTAGAAGTGTGCTTTTATAATTCGGCTCAAATTCAAGTCTGAATTTATCTAAGTCACTGCCTTCTACCTCTTAAATTTAGCTCCAATTTTAACCTAGAAAGCAAAACCTTAAAATAGCTTCTTGTACATGCCACTCACTGCCAGAAAGCATTACCTTTCTTGGGGAAACGTAGAAGCGCTGCGGCTATTTCAGACCGTGCCAGAGAGAAGGTACTCTCGGCTCTCAACTCAACCAAGCAAGGCGGGCAGGACGGTGGGAAGCGCAGCACACAGGTGCCTGAGGGCCACGGCGTTCCCAGCCGGCCTGTGCCCAACAGGCATGCCAGGCCCACACTCCAACCAGGTCAGATGCTCCAAACACGGGGGCCAGAGCAGCCCCGCGCTCGCAAAGAGCAGCACGCACCCTGCGTTTACAAACTAGAGATATAAACCTTTATTTCACTTTGTCGTGATTCCCTAAGAAGACACGTACGGGGAGTGGAGAGGAACACGGGACAGGACGCTGGGGAGGCTGGGCTGCTGGGCGTCGTCCATCGGGGTCACGCCGGGCTCAGGGGCAGGCAGCGCGGGCCAGATGCACCGTCCTGTCCGGCCCCAGCTTTACTTAGAGCCACCGCCTTTTCTGGGGCCGTTAGTCCTCATTTCATGCCAGATTTTCACCAGAGGCTCCCTGTTCTTCCAAATGAGTTCATGACCGTAAGTAATGTACCATCTGGAGAAAAGAAAAACAAAGCAGGTCGTATGCGGAACCAGGATGTCACACGGGGAGCACCATGACAACACTGAGCTGACTTTTTCTATATCAAATGTCGCTGCCATATACTAGGAAGCTTCCAAGTCCGCTGAGTAGCTTCTGAAGTGAATGGCAGCCTCAGCCCGGGCCGTGTGTCAGAGGGGAGGAGGACGGCTGAGGGGTGAGCGCCCCATAGCGCGTGCGCCCTGCACATGCGCACTTTGCCCTGAAGTAGCCTTTCAGCACTGTGGACGTGGGGACTACGCCCAAGAGGACGTGAACTGCCCAGGGCGCTCACAGCTTCTAAGTGACCACTCAGGGACAGGCTGCCTCTAAACCCCCGCTCTCTCTGGGAAGCTCCTAGTGCCGGTGGGCTGTAGCAGCCCACAACGCCAGTCATCCTTCACCTGGCCACACCTGGGGTGGCCAGCGGACCCCCCACTCTGCCCAGCCCCGTTCTCCTGGCAACGATGCCTCACAGCGGCCTGAAGCAAAGCGCTGGGGAGGCTGAGGCACTCGGGTTGCTACTTCTAATTGCTCGGGTACATAGGAATCCCCGGCTCAATCTGGCACCGGGGCCGTGCCGCAAGCACCGCGCTAGCCAGCAGCACGTGGCGGGTATTCTGTGAGCCGGGTCCCCTGCGAGAGGCCGCCAACAGCTGAGGGGCACCTCTCCGCCCCAGGGCGGGGGCCTGAGAGCTTTGCTTGTGGAAGGGTTTGGTCTCCAGGTTGCATGTTCCCTGGCGCAGAGGACAGATTCTGCTGACCTCTGCATCTTGGAGACACCTGACTGAAAAACGCTCAGAGCTGCCTCGGATTTGTTTTGATGTTCTTTTAAATGTTCTGAACATGTATCTTCTATTATAAAGGGCTTGATTTGTACCAGTCAATACAGTTAGAATCTGATTATGAAAATACAGTCAACACTAACATTCTGAAAAATAAAACAAAAAACAAATAATCAGGAAATTTACAGAAACAAAAAGGGCATTTTTAACATGAGAATTCAGGCGCTGGCGCTGTGGTGCAGCGGGATAAAGCCCGGGCATCCCATATGGGTGCAGTTCCGAGTCCTGGCTGCTCCTGTTCCGATCCAGCTCTCTGCTATGGCCTGGGAAAGCAGTAGAAGATGGCCCAAGTGCTCAGGCCCCTGCACCCACGTGGGAGACCCGGAAGAAGCTCCTGGCTTCGGATCGGCACAGCTCCGGCTGTTTCGGCCATCTGGGGAGTGAACCAGCGAATGGAAGACCTCTCTCTCTGTCTCTACCTCTCTCTAATTCTTTTTATTTTTTTTTTATTATTTATTTATTTTTTTTGACAGGCAGAGTGGACAGTGAGAGAGAGAGACAGAAAAGTCTTCCTTTGCCGTTGGTTCACCCTCCAATGGCCGCCGCGGCCTGCGCGCTGCGGCCGGCACACTGCGCTGATCCACTTCTAAGTGGTCACTTAGAAGCAGGAGCCAGGTACTTATCCTGGTCTCCCATGGGGTGCAGGGCCCAAGGACTTGGGCCATCCTCCACTGCACTCCCTGGCCACAGCAGAGAGCTGGCCTGGAAGAGGGGCAACCGGGACAGAATCCGGCGCCCCGACCGGGACTAGAACCCGGTGTGCCGGCGCTGCAAGGCGGAGGACTAGCCTAGTGAGCTGCGGCACCGGCCTCTGTAATTCTTCAAAATAAAAATAAATCTTTAAAAAAATAAGAATTCATTAATAGGCATATAACAAAATTGTTTGGACTAAAGTAAAATTCTCTGGTGAATTTAGAGCAAGAAAAACAATGAATCACCGTAAGATTCAAATGCAACTGAAAAAAATCAATGAAAATCTCTTGTCAGGAAATACCCATTAATAAAGTATCTTTTTATCTGACTCACTCCAAGGCCTTGAAGAGTCAAGAACTTTGACC